GACGATTTTCGAGATCATCAGCCGTCGGAAATCTCGGCAGAGTTGCGCGCCAAATACATTTTCAGACCCGGATACACTTCTGGGCAAGGAAGAGCGTTCCCCTCGGTTTTCTATATTCATCGCTTTAACTTCTCCGGGTACATATCGCACCTGTAGTAGACATTAAAAAATACTTATATGCATATGAACGCTCGTAGGAAATCCGATGGACAGGTGTGTTATTGGAAATTCTATTTTCCGGTGACCAATCGGGTCTTGGGCCCGGTCCTTTCCTTCCTATTCTTCTTTCTTATCGGATTTTCATCGAACTCTCTGCCAAGGAACATGTCATCGTTATTACGACCCAGTTACCCGGGCGACCGTTCCCCGAATTACTACGTGCAGCAATAACGATCGACGTCGTGTACGGTGCATCGTGCATACGTAGTGGTGGCCGCCTCGTCGGTATCACGGGTCTCTATACTACGGTTGCAGGTCTCTTTGTCAGCGCCAACGGTAACCGATCGCTCGCACGTGACATGTTATAATGTGGTTGTTACAACGTTGCGTCGCTGCGTAAATTCCCTGCTTCCCCGGCCGAGGTGTACCGAGTAATCGATAAACCCAATCGACATAGTTCTTCCGTGGGTTCAATTTAAATTTACAATGTAATTTTACGCGATCCAGATTTTACGATTAGTGACATGCTCATTAACGACCGATCTTTTATCTTCGAAGAATTTTAATTCATATTCATTTTACACGATGAAGATTTTACGATTCGCGGCGTGTTCATTTGCAAGGGATTTTATTTTATGTTTGTTTATTTTCGGAAAATGTTAAAATTAAAGACAAACAGTCGGTAAAGGAGTAGGAATTTTCCGGAATTATACGACGGACTGGGTGTCAGGTGTCGAGATTAATCGTAATGGTAATCGTCGGTTCTGTCGTTGGCCATCTGACAACGATTGGCCTTCGAGTAATTTTTATCAGCCAACTTTAAAATAAACGTCCGCACGTGATTGCACGAGGTTGTGTGGCTTGGGTGTGGAAATTTAAATGCGTCGGTGACTGTCTTTTTTTTTCTTTTTCCTCTATTTTCATTCTTTCGTCCGTACTGGCCACCTACTGCGCGGTTCGGCCGACTTCATCGCGTGGCACCGTGAATTTGTTCATTTTTCAAATTGCGTTTTTTATTAATTATCTTTTCATCCATCACTGGCATTCATCGAAGCCTTCGCGATACCGCGGTTTACATTTTTTACGGCAATTTTTTTTTTTTTTTGAGAGAAGTTTATTATTCCAATGGCAACTAATATCGCTTCCGAGATAACTGTCGTGACGTCAATACTTTCGACTAGATATTATCCGACGTCTTCCCGAAGTGCCCGGCGAGATAACGTCGTTAAATCCCTTCGTTACGGCGACATCCTTAAGATGTCAATTGCATAACCCGATATAACACGGCCGGTAAAAGCCTCCCCTAAATCGCTGGAGGTATATATTTTATACTGCAAGACCCGAAGTGGCGAAAACAAATCCATTCGTTCAATTAAGTCCATTCGACGGCGATTTATCGCAGACGGTTCCGGATTTATTTCCCCCGAAAAAAGAAAAAAAAAAAAACTGTCCGGTCCGTGGGAATAAATTATTCCAGCAGACGTGGAACAATCCTGACTTTTATCATGTCCTTCATTCCTTGTATCACTTCCAGCAAGGCGACATCCCTGGGCCCGTAATCCGAGGAATTTATTCAATTACTTAAAAACGATAATATTATCTCGACGCCTACGAAGCCGTGAACGACCATTACGTTTATTATTTCTATTTTGGTTCCATTTCTTTACCTCCGTTTCGTGAAATTACACCGTCAATTGCGCGCGACGGACACCGAGCGGGGTAATTCTGCGATTAATTTCCCCTAGCAGTTTTCTCATCCCGTCGATTAAAATCGCTTTCGCATTCCATTTGTTAACTCCATTGCATAACTCGGCGCAACGTCTCTTGAAGACCTCGAAGGCCTCCCTCCGATAATGATAGCTCATTTATGCGAGGAATGCGCGGTTAGGCTCCCACGCGATCAGTGACGTATTTTTGAAAAGTTGGAGAGAGGGAGAGAAAAATGGGGAAAAATTAACGGAGGAGCAAGAATAGTCCGGGACTCGCGAGATGGGGCGAGGCTCGTTTCGCAGGAAATAATGCACACATATTGGGCCATTAGCACGTAGGTGCGTCATGAGTCACATGTGATCCATGACTGTCCCCTCAAGTGCACATGATCTCCTCCAACTACGAAGAACAATGTTCCTATACCACGTTGGAACATCGCGTCACTTTTCGCGATCCCGTTTGTTACCTTTTCTTATATTTAATTCCTCTTTTTTTTTTCTCCCTCTTTAATTGTCTCGAAATTTATCATTTCCATCCCGCTACGTCGTATCACCGATAGTGATTTAATAGTAACATTTTGTAATTTTAATCATCCCTTTGCCGAGTTGATTACACCGGTGTAAATTACGCCAGGAATCACGCGAAACTCTTGTTCAATTATCGACGTCTGTTCCACATGGACATTAATTATTTACACCAGCGCGATTGCAGTATGGATGCAAATTTAACGCTTATCGGAAATACTTGAGAATGGATAGGGTAATTAATATGAATTTCGATTAATAAAATAAAATAAGGGAGGGATGCACCGTATGTGATAATTACAAGTGAAAATCCCAGGTTCGTAAGATCACGCACCCGTGTGATCTATTAACTCTTATTTTCATGAACAGAGGTAATTCAACGAGTTCTTATCGAATTTCAACCGTGAAAATGAAATTTCACGTTATTCTTCCTGATGGGTACAAATTGGTCTCTTTTGACACACCTCACACTCTTTGGACAGGATAGATTCCGTGCATCTTGAAAATGACGGTGTAATCGATTAAATGAAAATGAAGGAAAATGTTCTCGGTACTCGGTTGGGACTGAAAGAGAAAACGCCTACGCGAAGTAGCGTGCGTGTTGAGGCCAGGGAAAACACGCATTAGGCCGACAACGTGTCTGTCCTCGTTTCAGTGCTCGAAAATTCATTCCCCTCGGCGACGTGTTAATCCCGCCAATTAAATTCATTCTCGCATTCCATTCTACGAAACCTGCTCTCACTTCTTAACACGGGTGTATACACGCATGCCTCTTTCACATGTATTTAAGATACGTCGCCCATGCGTGGGTGCGAGGGACATGCATGCGTCTCTCGACCGATTTGAGATACGATATGGGATATGCGTGATCACATGTGTAAAATCCCGGGTACAGACTCGAGGTACACGTTTGCACGGTTCACGCGCATGATATACGCGCCTAGGTACGTGTTTGCGCATTTTACGTCGCGTTATGTAAATTGTTTTCTTACGCCGAATCGGAGCCGAGTATGTACGCATAGGGCAGTCATATCAACCCGAGGTGAGAAGTAATCCCAGTACATAGTTCGACATTAGAGTCGCACTTAAAACGATAATAACACAAGAGAGAACATTTTCTCGCTGGCGCATAATAACATTTAATAAAATATTCCATTGGTTCGATATCGTTTTTATTAATTTTTTTTTTTCGCAGAAATGTCCCCATTCCTGCTTACGGCCGAACACTTAAGCAGGAAATGTTCCTTCACATCCTCCGGATTTTTATAAGGTCGTTCATGCTTGCTTATTGCCCTTGACAAGTGTAAATACGTGTCTTTACGCCTAACACGTGTGTCCATACGTGTCGGTCCCGCGTGGGCGTGAAGTAGGTACATACACAGGTACATACGGATGTACGGCACGCAGATTAAGAGTTTATACGCAAATACGTGACATCTTAAACATTTCTATACGTATATACAGAGTCGCATGTGATCACGCACCCTCGATGTAGGTTCCTACATTACATAAATTGCTTTCTCGCTTGCGCTTACATTAACCTGACAAGCTAAGCAACGTGTACCCTCGGTAGGACCTAGTGAACGTATAATAAACAAATTGATAGAGAGATTTCCCGCAATATCGGCGGACGTAGAACCTCCGAAAAGATTAATTTGATTACCAAGTTGAAGATTATTATACTTCACCGCGGGTAACGTCTCTCGTTCTCGAGAACGAGTTTCTATTTCTCACATGGGCATTGCAGTCGTTAATAGGCCGTACCTCGACTAATTTCCATATTTTTCAGGACAGCGCCCAAGCTCAAGTTGAAGATTCACGTTTAATCGCCATTTCCATTCCTCGTACACCTGTGGAATTTCGTGATTAATACAAAAATCCGTTATTAGAGGAAATAACGCTCTGAAATTCTCCCATCGATGTTTATCGTACCGTGATACGGTAACGTACCGTTTTCTGATGTCGGAGACCGAGATAGTTCAATTTCGAACGTGAGGTGTATTTTTCCTCGCGATTTAAAATTCAGCAACCCCGCAAATCGACTCCGCCCCTCGTGGCGCTAGTTCTTTCCGCGTCTCGGTTCAACGTTCTTTCCGCGCCGGCCTATATCAGTGAATCGGCGAGCGTGCGGATAAAAATTTTCAGAAGCTCGTTAGCAGGGTGGTGGGTAATAAAAAGATCTCTCGCAAGCTCTCCGATTTTCGCGCGCGGAGGCCAGCTGGTCGAGGAAATCCGGCGATTTCGTTTCACCCCTTACGGGATAATTTCCTGCCGGGATGGGTGATTTCTGGAGCGGCGGCGGTGGGCGGCAGGGTCGGCAGCACGCAGAGCCGCCGTCTTCGCGTCGCGGTCGTCGTCGGGCCTCGGTTCGGCTAGGTTCGGCTCGGTTCGGCTCGGCTCGGGCTGGACGCGCGCGACGGTGGCGCGACGCGGCGCGCCATCCGTGGCCCTGTGCCCCACCCAGCTTCGCGGCGGCCATGTCGGTCGGATCAATACCCCGGTCTGCGCGTGCGCGCAGCTCGAGCTATGCGCGAGCGGCGCCGAAGGTTGCCGAGGGGCCGGCGGAGACGGCCGAGGCCCGGCACGGAATTCGCCGAGTCCCCACCACCTCCGGCGTCGCCGGCTCAGTCGTTGTGCGGGAGTGGTCACTGAGGGATGTGTGGTGTAAACGCGTGACTGAAAAAGAGGCGAAGAGTAGTTTTTCCGGCGAGTACGCGTACTCTGCTCCCTCCCCCGAAGAAACAGAGACTGAATCTAGTCAGGGCCCCGAACTAGAGTACCCCGGCGGCGTGTATTTATTTATATTTATTGTACAAAAGACTATTTAAACATAGGTAGGTGCCACCGAGTCTACGACACTCTCTCTTTCTCTCTTTCTCTCTCTCTCTATCTATCTATCTATCTTCTGCGTTCCGGCATAGCTGCGCCTCCATCGCTTTCGCCCGCGAGCCCTGCCTTCCTTACCGACTTTGGTCCGCTCGATCCGCCTTTTAGCTCTCGTGACCGACACGTAGCCTCCAGACGACACTCGACGTAGCTACGTCGTTCTGGCCGGCTCTCCGCCTCCTTCCGCTTCGCTCCCGCACGGTGCGCCGCCTCGCTCTGTCCCTACCCCCACCCCTCTACCCCGCCCCTATCTCTGTCGGATCGCCGGCTGCCCCGTCTATCTATCCTTCTCGGTCGCTGCGGCGCGCTGCGACCTTTTTCCCCGTCTCTTGTAATTTTTTTTCCTTTTTTTCCTCGTATATCGCGCGCCTTTTGCCCCGCGGAAATTTCTCACGAGCCCTGCTTATTGATCTGGGCACCGGAAAAACCATCACCGAATCCGCAGCGGATCTTCCGCCGCGGAAAAGCCGCTCGCGGTGTCGAGTCCCTGACTCCGCACGCGCCGCACTTGGGAATCCACTTGGCCGGGCGAGGGAGCGAAAGGTGCGCCTCGGTCGTGGCGCTGCCAGCGCCGACGGGAACGGCGACCATAACCTCAAAAGACGCCCCGACGAGAATACCGCGGGGCGCCGTTCCGGTCTTCCGAGTGGATGCTTCCTCCGTATCGATTCTACCACGGCTAATCTCGGCCTGGCGGAAAAGCCCCGGAGTTCGGCTCCGTGTAAAACTGGGCGGAGTATGTCGTGACCCGAACCGCCGGCTATTTTACCGGGGGGAGGAAAAGAAACGAGCCTGCAGTCGGGGATGATTACTGCAGTGGTAACGACCGATGTTCTATACATAGGCTTTCACGTTTCTACTGCGGGGTGACGGTGACCGATTTTTTTTTTTTTTTGGGAAACGCATTCACCCGGGATATTAAGGTGATGTGAAAGTGGCCTCGAAGGGTTCTCGTTCATGAAGCTTTTCTCCAAACCGGGTTTACCGAATAGATTCAAACTTTAGCATATAAATGCGAAGGGGATAAGGAAGGTCCTGAAACTTATGAAATTCCAATTCCTTATAAATTTCTTGTAGAAAATGAAATTTCACGAGTTTTAGCACCTTTCTTATAGCCTTCATATTAATGTTGTAAGCCTTAAACCCATTTTCGAGAAATGTTCCACGAACGATTGACTCTTTATTGGGTCGTCGGAAAAGTCATGATGCATTTTCGTAACGAAATGCGTCGTGACTTTTCCGACGACCCAATAGATGCCACTTTCACGGCCCCCGCATTTATTAAAGTACATTTACTTTCGTTACATGAGAGATAAAGAACTCTAGGGAACCTTGTGACTTTTCTTTTAAGGATTTACTCGCTTAAGACTTCTTTTTTTAATTTTATTTTATTTTAACGTCGCATCGGGGAATTTTTGATCAATGCCCGTTAAATTCTCGGGGACGGTTGCGCGAGGCCTTCTCGGTATGATCGGCCGTGGGGAATTCGCCGTGGATTGTAAATTTAATTTTGGCTTTGACGAGAGGAGCGGCCGGTGGCTCCCTCTTTCTTGTCCTGTCTCTCCCACCGTCTCGCGGGCGCACGTGCGTCGGACTTAAAATAAACTTTTTAGGTTGGCGGCCCGTGGCCCGTCGTCGGAGTATTTCCGAATGACTCTTGCCACGCCGCTTGCGCGTGTCCCCTAGCCGCGGCGTCCGGGAGCCTCCGGAAATCGCCGGAGATGGCCGAAAACCCCCGAAAACCTAGAGGCCCCGAAGCCATCTTGGATTTCCCCGCTCTAGCGGGGGAGGGCCTATCCTAAGAATGCGGCATCTTGGCAGGAACAATCTTTTACCGTCTTCCTTGAAATCGCTGAAGCTCGAAGGAAAAGAGAAGAGGAAAATGGAAAATCGGAACTGGCTGGGCCACTCCCGAGGATGTACATCCTGGGCTCTTATTCTCGAGTTTATACGATTTTTTGATCGCGTACGTATAGATTCGCGTGAAAAAAAAAAAATGTCCCATTGTCCTCGGTCAACATTTGAATGTCGTGGACGAAACTGTCAATTTGTCGTGGGAAATTTCCTCGTATAAATTCGAGAATCTGGTCCTTGACTGGATAGATAGATAAGGAACGCGAAAAGTAAGAATGTTCAGGCTGAAAATGTGGCTTGGAGATGTATGGGCAGAAACTCGGAGAACGAGGATATCCCTTGCGAAGGTCCCCTTACGTGTCTTGGAAGGTGGCAGTTTGTCGATACCTTTCATCAATATCCAATTCCGATAACGGAGAACACTACCCATCCTATTTGATAATGGAGTACTCTCCGTGATGGGCGCGTTTAATATATATTCTCATATTGGAAGAATTATTACATAAGGGTGATATCGATAGGACGGGGACGGGACCTTTGACGGCACGACGGCTTCATGACCATAGGTACTCCTCGCTGATATTTTTTATATACAGTTAATAGTTGGTTAGGAACGTTAAAAAAAATATGTACATATATTAAAATCAAGGATCCCTCGCTAGAGTTCCTTCCAGCTTTGGCAGGGAATCACGCGAGGCCGAAAAAAAATGCGCCGGCATTATCAGCGATCACAAATGTGACCCGATAAATCCGCAGATAAATAGCGAGTCGCGATAAAGGGGAGGGCCTTTATCACTGCCCGGTTGACGATCTTTACGACTCAGAGCCTAGACCTCCAATAATCGTACTCGGCATGAAACATAACGTGGAAAAATCTCACCTCGCGTTAATGTTAATTAACGCATCTCCTCGTCACATCGTCGGGCACAATTTTATACGTCTACGAGTAAACGCGAGACGCATCGATTTCCTTACGTCGCAAACGCCTTCAAAGCGATTGTTCTTACGCAATGTTCCCTTAGGAAAAAAATATATATATATGTATTTTATATATATTTATATTTATATGTGTAAAGAAAAATATTCGACGACCACTTCGTCCTCAAGAAGACAAGACATGGAACGACCCACCTCGTGGCGTGTATTTCAATCCCTTATCAGCTTGCTTCGAATTATTAATTCATTACGCGACTAACAAAGGGTACAATCGCTGACAAATGGAATATCACCCTCTCGCCCAGATCCCGCGGCTCTTTGTCCCTCGATATTGTCGAATCCCTCCGCAAAGTGGAAATCCTCGCCTACGTCGGTAAGGTCAAGGTCTGGTTTGGTCGATCCAAGGCTTAAGTGAAATCCCGCCGACGATCGTCGTCGATCTTTTTGTCCCATTGTCAGTGTCGCGGTGCCCCCGTCCCACCCCCCGGGGTCCCCTTGCCCCATTGTCTCCCGCAATCGTCATTAAAAAGATTCGGCGTTTTCCATCCGCATTGGGGAGGCCGCCGACTCGAATTCTCCACACTCTTCCTAGCCTCTGCGATCTTTTGTGCCTCCAGCTGTGCTCCATTCATATCAACGCCTTTCTTCCTTTTCTTTATCTTTTTTTATTCCCCGCGCGTTACAATCCGTGTCTCCCTGTCCCTCCCCTTCGACCCATCTCTTTATCTCGCCTCGTCTTGTCTCTGCGTAATCTATCTTTCTCACTTTTTCTTTTCCTCCTCTTTTTATCCCAGCCGCCCTCGTTGAAATTTTCACGCCTGCGAGATTTCGGATTGCTTCGCGAAAAAGAATGGGGATTGTTCCTTTCGGTGGGCGTTTCCAGTTCCTCGGTTGTGTCGCGCGACAAGTACACTCGGGTCGTTGTCCGTCGTGGTGCATTTACGTGCACTGATTACGCGCCTGCACTATCGGATCAGTGCACCAGGAAGATGCGATTTTGCGCTTAACGCGAACTGCTGGAAGGCCGAGGGATTTTAAAAGAATTCTTCCCCTTCTGGAAGTGCATTAAGCGCATCCTACGTACAGGTCGATTAATTGGGGAATGTCCTCCGAGGGTGGATCGATTATATTTTCCCCTCGTGGAAAGCTCCTCCATAGAGTTTTTTTCACGTAATACCGGTGCACTTGTATCGACGACCGGCAAGAAATGATCTGTTACTCGTAATCCCATCCGGGAAAGGAGTTAATTTTATATTATCTAGCGACCTTTATCGATCGCCCTGTATAAATGTTAAATGACGTAAATCGGGAGGATTGGTTTCTATCTTTATCCTTCGGCCGGCGTTAAGAGTTATCGAGAGCTTCGATTTCGAAGTCGATGTTTCAAAGGCGGGATGTATTTTTAGGGATTTCGGGTGGAATTCAGAGTTTCTTTCCTTTCCGGAAATCTTCATTGCTCTTCTTTATTACCGAATTCTCGATTTTATCGTTAATAAAAGGGGGCAAATAGCCGAAATTACTGCCGTTCTTTCGGGGGTTAATTTAACTTCCGTCGCGGCCCCCGTCTAATAAAATATTTATTTCGGAATTCCTGGGGGCTGTTTTCTAGGCGACCTTTTTCTTTTATTTTATTTTTTTTTTTCCTTTGGATTCACTGCCTGCCGAAATTAGACTGCCGCGACTGGTGGCAGAAGAACTTGACGCCGTGCCAAATGCTTAATACCTCGTCAAGTTCAATTCTCTATTGTTAAGTCGTGTGTCTAATTTGACGTAACGCTTTAACGGCCGTTTTTCCGAGGTTGACCGTGGAATAGATTCTTCTTCCCTTTTTTTATTCTATGTAATTTAAGATCGCTCCAAAAAAGCTTTTTTGCTCTCCATTTTCACTTGCTATTTTTTTTTTTTTTTTTAAATAAGTGTTTTTCGCACGACTAGTCGAAGTTTAAATTAATACCAGGTAAACTAATACGAGAAACTGCATCGGTGAGTTTCTCGTTGAATTTGAATTATGTTTACTGGTACTCTACTGCAGTACCAACTTGCATCGAAGTTGCAGGGTGTTTCTCGCCGTGGTGCATCTTGCAGCAAAGTGCACTTCCGGGCTCGCGATCGGACGTATAAATCAGAAGTGCGGAACGGGTACCAGGGATGTTTGCGCTAACTTTACCCTACATACTGTTTACGCCCTCGCCTGTCGGCCGTTTGTCATTATCAAACGTACGAGCAATGCCTCGGTCGACTGCGACTATATATTACTCTGTCTGCGTTAATATTCTTGAGAAATTGACTTTTGGCAAACCTGGGCGCAATGGCCCTTAACCCCAGATCTGACATTACCTAATTGTTCCACGGTACCAGTTAGCGGAGGAATATTGTAAAGTTCCAAGTACACCGATAAAAATGCCGACGCAAATTCCCACGCCCAGTGATTGGTTATTTCGACGTCGGGATAAATGCCGGTAAAATTTCATAGCCTCTGTAACATCACATTCGGCATCTAAGATAAGTTAAAGAAAATCACGAGGTTGCGGGTATGTAAATTTCCCTCGATTTTTAATCAGCCTTGATACTCCTTGCAGCTGTACGAACGGCGTAATAATTAATACAGATTTTTCGGACAACCCTCTTGCCTTTATTCTCAATTTAACATTTAATATCATTTCTTAGAGATATTGGGACGACCCAATGATGGGATATAATAGTGCGCGTCGATCTTCAACTATTCGGAGAATAAGGTCGAGTCCTCCTCTGTACGCTTTTAAAAATCGTCTTTCCGGTTCCGTTTTCTCTCCGGGCTGTTGGAAACTCCTCGCGGGAGTGGATTCCCTGTAAAAAGATGCCGAGCGGGAATTTCTCGTCGAAAAGCGGAGAAGGAGGGAGACGGGGGCAACTCTCGTGAAACGACACTCCTGGTTTCCTTGGATGTTTTGATGTCTTCTTTTATATCACTTCTTCTTCTTTTTTTTTTTTTTCTTTTTCTTCGGCCCCCCTCTCCCTCGCTGAGTCTTTCGTCTTGAAGGCGCGACATGTGCAACCAGGGCTTACCTTTCACTATGTACAACTAGATGACTCGGTTCCGCGTTCTTCCTCTTCCGGTAGGGCAAACGACATCCGGTCTGACGCGACGTGAATGCAACTCTCTAAAATGACGGCATTTCCGAATTAACATATACCACGTCTGAATAAAACTTCGAGCGAAAGATCTGTTGGAAAATTATAATAATTTTTCCTAACGGCGTACATTCTAATCCCCGCGATATCGGGTTTTATTCTCTTTAACCCTTTGAACACGGAGCCATTTCGACACATGGGCGAAATTCGTCTGACCGTGCAGGCAATATTGGACCAAACGTCATGCGCCTTTAGGCGCTCTTAGTAGCCAATGGAGCGTCGATTTTTCTCCTCTTCCCGGTATCGGAATCATGTAGGGTAATGCGCGCATACCTCGAGATAGTTGCGCAATTCAAGTAGTACTACACGGCAAGCCTTGACGAGTCTAAGATATCTGCCAGGGAATTAAACGAAATCTCAGGACTCCAATTGTCGTCTCGTGGATTGAATTGCGATAAGCGGAAGAAAAAAAAAAAAAGAAATGAAATTATTTAAATTAAAAGGGCAATTAGGAAAGTTTCATTAGTCCCGAAAAGAGGGAGGATAAAATTCTTTCGAGATGTCGTTCGAGGACTATATATATTTTTTTTTTCTCTCATCTCACTCGGACGAAGACGCCGGGAAGTGAAGTCACGCTTATGAATAACGAGCGTCCACCTTCGTTAATTGGCGCGCAGGTGCGATCGAGTGCACAAATACGATCGGGCGTCAAGGTCTCGGACATCCGACGTCACGTCATGATCCGTTTGCACCGAGGACGCATCTTGCGGCAAGATGCATCTCCCGGGTCCTCTTTTCTCCTCTCATCCTCTCCGTCTCGCCTTTCTCTCGCCGGATCCTCGCGTCTCTCTCTAGCAGCCTGCTCCATGTCGGGACTTTTCTCTCTTCTCTCGTTTATATTGCAATCCACATTTAGCGATCATTCTCTCATCCTCGGACTTTCCTTCTCCGTCGCGCCCGTATCGCGGGCATCGCTCTTTCTCTCTTCATCCATCTCCCTTTTGCGGCGTATTCAGCATGAATGCGGAGTTCTCTCCCTCCCTCTCTCGGTGTTCTTCCTTCCCCTCTCATTCGCTTCCCGCGGCTCTCTGGGATCACGTGCAAGGATCGTGCATCACGAGCGATCGTACAACGTGGCATTTACGTTCATTCAGTGGATGCCCCGTCTTCGGTCCTTCTCTTTCATTCTCTTTCGAGGATGCAAATGATTCACGGCCGGTCGCGGAACGTCGCGACGATCGAGGCTTCGCGTGGGCTGTTTAATTCGATTAATCGCGTACAAAGTCGGCGTCCCGATCTCGCGGTTTAGCCGAAATCGAGGGAGATTATCGGATGTTATCGGAGAAGGATATATATGTCAACGGCGACGACCCTGGGTAAATTGATAACGCGCCCAGCAAACGAAAATCCTGGGAATGACAAGCCAATGGCATACTTGGATTGTTTAAAATAATGCCAAATTCATTCCAGCATGTTTGAGTAATTGTCATTTGAATTAACATTTGGATTTGAATTTGAATTTATTATTTCATCGGTTAAATGAAATTCTTCTCACGGGGTAGAAGGGATTCTTCTTATCGCCTGGTAGAGCTTGTCGCGCGTGGATTTTAAATCAATCACGGAGTAAGGGGTTAATTTTTCAATTAATCGTAGCCGGCAGAGTAGGTACTGAATTTACAGTGTCTGGTCGCGGTACAGGGTGATCTAATTGTAATCCTAATTGAGTGGTCGGAGGATAAAGCCGCGTTTTGTAGGAGCCAGGGCGAACGCACGAGGCTCGGGGAGGGTGTTTACCTGTACAATTAGCGACTTCGCGACGCGCAATTACTCTCCGCTTGGGATCGCAATTACGGTCTGTCCACCTTATAAGAGCGTCCGGTTCCAGATGCCGGGCAATCACGCGACATCTAAAGGCGACCTCCTCAAAGAACTCGAGCGGGCGTTCCTTTGACGTCAGATGGAACCATTTGCTGGGAAAGGACGGCGAAAGGGGGGGAAAGAAAAATCGAGGAGATCCTGAACGGTCCAGATAGAGGAAATTAATGTCGGTTCTCCCTCTCTCGTCCGGGGAGGCGAAAAGAGACGGAAGAGAGACGAAGGAACCGAAGGCTCTCCCGAAAGGGAGAGCCCTTGCCATTCCCTTAACGCTGATCGATATCAGAAGTATATTGAGAAATTGCGATTGCCTAGACACGGGAACGCGGGGGAGGGCCCGGGTAATTTGTTCGTGTTATTTGCGACCCCTCCCAGAGATCGGCCGTAATAAGTTGTGACGGCGACGGTTCTTTGTTATCACGCGATGGAAATATATGGTCTTTCGGAGTTTCTCGCGAGAAAGAAAATTCATCCGGCGAAACGCCGGTAGGACGACCTCGAGGTGTGGGTCGTTGTGCTCGAGAGATGTTACGTATGAATCTCTCTCTTTCTTTCTTTTTAATATGTCGTCCTTTTGAGACCCAGAACCCGAGCGACCTCGTTGGAACCGAATGTGTCGGGGCAGTGCGCTCGAAAATATGTCTAATATTTAAATAACGTCTGAAATATTCACGCGAGATGGTTTCTTCCGTGACATTTTATGGATCTTCATATCATGGATTAATTGTCATTTCTTGCGAATCAAGGTATATCTGAAATTTAATTATTAGACGTTACCGTAATTTATACCCGATTGTTCGTTCTGGGCTATCGGCCGAAATTCGATTTCTCTGGAAATGTTCGTACAAGTCTTCAATTGAAACTACGCGCACGTGGATTTAATACAAGTGTTTGATAGATGGTCCACGCACTTGGCGCGTAATCGCGCTTTCGTCAGGTTGTTCCGCTCGAGGAACCGATTCCTTTGAAGAGGGGCCGACCTAGCTCGTTTATCGGATGCCTACCATGACCGATTGATGCCCCGATATGTATACCTCTTACTCTGCATTTCGTCGTAAGGCTGCTTCGCAAGGTTACGGGATTAAGGCCGGCCAGGATATCCCCTGGTCGCCGGGTGCAATTTATTCAAAGAGCATTACTTCGGTATCGGGCAATCGAGGCGGTAACGCGATTGATGGAAATCCGTTTCCCCGCGGTCGTTATTTCACGGTCGCTTTCATCGCTCCTCCCGTTCCGTTTCATGTTCGATTTAAACCTGAGAACCTAGCGTGCCCGCCAAATGGTATTTCTCGTATTTCTCGTATTTCTCGAATTTATTCGCGAGCGCGTTCTCCTTCTCTCTTAACCAAAGGGGTCGTTGGATTCCTGGTTGCCTTTAAGATGACACAAAATAGTCATTCTATACACATAAAACGTAAATATATAATATACAAGGAGACATTTTTTTTTGGAGGGCCTCGATAGTCACGTGCTCAATTTATGAACATTTTCACGTTATATGTACACGGTCCTTTCGTATCACCTTAAGAGGGAACTTTGCACCGCTTTTGGTCGTCCTGTTTTTATTTTTATTTTTTTTTCCATCTCCTCGCTCTTGCTTTCGAATCTTGAATTTTACTGTCGCTGTGCATGATGTCGAGGTTGTGAAGAATTTCTTGGCCAGGTCTAATGCCGTCTGGGTGTATTTATTTTCCAGCCGACACAATGTCCGTGGACAAGGAGGAACTGGTGCAGCGCGCGAAGCTCGCCGAGCAGGCGGAGAGGTACGACGATATGGCGGCCGCCATGAAGGCCGTCACCGAGACGGGGGTCGAGCTCTCGAACGAGGAAAGGAACCTGCTCTCCGTGGCGTACAAGAACGTGGTCGGCGCAAGGCGCAGCTCGTGGCGGGTCATCTCCTCCATCGAGCAGAAGACCGAGGGCTCCGAGCGCAAACAGCAAATGGCCAAGGAGTACCGGGAAAAGGTCGAAAAGGAGCTGCGCGAGATCTGCTACGACGTTTTGGTAATCACCCTACACTTATTAAATGTCTCTGCGAGCCCTTATCTCGGCCAATTGCCCCTCGAAGCCCCGCTCCAGCAAGAAAACTAAGGCTTTCCATTCAACTTTCAGTCATCTCGACCACGTCGGACCGAACTACCCGTGTATGTAATGCTCCTGTATTGCTAGCGAAAAGGGCAGAAAGGAAGGACACGGATCGTGGGCTTTAAGGTGATACGAAAGGGTCATTCTATGTACCTAAACCTTAAAATATGTATAAAACTGCTCTCCAAACTGGGTGCGCCGGATCGTTTGGACCGTTAACACGTGATTGTGGAGGCCCTGAGGGACTAGAAGCAAAATCGCGTTTTCTTGTGGAAAAAGAAAAAAAAAAAAGGAAATTTCACGAGCATCGCGGTCTGCCTTAGCGACTCTGCGATCACGTGTTAAAGCTTCAAATGACTCGGTGCACCCGGTTTGAAGAATAGTTTTATTAATGTTTTGACGTTTCGCATGTATAGAATGACCCTCTCGTATCACCTTAATTACCCAGGCGTTTATATACCTCCTCTTGGGAACTGCGTATTTCTGAAGAGGACGCGTATGACGGCTGTAAACGTAACTGTCTATTGATTTGTGTATTCACCGGCTAATTTAATGGCTTTCTAGGATCTATGGCGCGTGCGCGGTGGGTACCTAGAGCGCCGCTTAGATGTCGAAGTCCCTTCGGATGGCCAGCTGGCAATATAAGTATTACGTACACGACCGGTAATAATTCCTGATAGCCTGTGGCGCATCTTCGAGTAGCATTGTATTTCTTGGCTCAAGGTCGGCCACGTCGTGGCGGGCTTAGGTCGTCGCGGCGCGGGGTTCGTGTCCGAAACCTCGCGCCGGTAACGTCGCTTTCTGTCTGCCTTGGCGCAGCGTAGAAGAGGAACTTGGCGTATTACGTTGCAACGGGTTATTACGTTGCGCGAGGTCGGGGCCCCGGGACTAGGCTAGTGTGCCGACTGCGAGATTAACCGACGTTTCATGTACACGAGTTACCTTGTTAACACACTAAGTCGGGGATTTTAGGAGAGGCAGAACCCGCTCCCTGAACGTTGCTTATCATTTTCAAGCTGTAACCGCAGGGTTCTGCTTTTGAAATTATGTAAGGTACACCGTCACAATCTGTTAATTGTAATTAATATCACTGGCATTTTTCTAGGGATTTAGTGCCTAAGTTCGAGTACACCCGTGTCAGGGAATGTCGTCCTAGGGAAGATCCTTCTTCTGGAATGAAGAGTGTCAACCTTGAAAAGGATATCTTCCAGGTGGAGGTGTGATAGGCCTACACGAAATTCCTCACCAGGATTTGCTTTCTTCTCGGTACGGGGAGGCACGAGGACAAGTAGCCGATCTTTTGAAACCCGTTTGCAAGTTACACCCGTGCCTTCTCCTCGAGGGATCGTTTTACCTACGCCATGGCGATCATCCTCGGGTTCCCGGATCTGGAAGTCGAGGAGGAGGAAAAATCCCGCTCCTCCCGGGTTGGGTTTCACTCGGGTCAATTACGGCTCTATCTTCTTGACACTGCTCCTCGGTGCGCGATCGCGTTGACCCTCTTCTCCTGGAGTGTTATACGAGGGATTCGACGCCATTCCGCATTCACTTAGGAAGAGAAGCACGGTCGATTTTCAAAGAATCCTTGTAATACAAAATGTACCTCTTGGTATTCCCCATTTTCCACGGCGTTTCCCGTGGCGGTCTCGAGAAGGGGATTTTCTTTTTAATGCCAGGGTGAGCCAACGGTCGATGAGGTTGCTGCGAAGGTTATTCAAAGGTGGGGATCAATTCCCATTTATCGCTGACAATGTGTAGAATGGGCTGGGAGCCAAAAGTATGTTGATATGTCGGACGGAATGTATTTCTTTTCTGGTCCCATCGGGTTATAGATTCAGGCGTGTTATCGATTTACTTAGTTAGTGCCCTCTTTTTATTTTAATATGTCAGGTATGTCGGGGGAGTTATGATTGTGACGTAGACGAGCAGTGAGCAGGTGTAGTTCGGTCTCGTTAAATCCAGTTACGTGCACGGAGAACCAGGTAAATCCGATCTTAGACAAAAAGGCGGTTTGATTCGAGGTCGTTGGTGAAGAACCAATACAGGTGATCTGGTTCTTCGAGCTGCGGCTTATCCTCGAATTGTCCGAAAATCATTCGCCTTGTGCCATGTTTAAACCATGGTTCTCAGCAAATAGTGTCTTTTACCTTTCTTGGGGAAAAAAAAAAAAAAAAAGATTCCGAAACGCACGGATATTTCCCTTCCTTTTGTCGATGGAGAAACTTATCCGGTTTCGTTCGAGCTCCCTTTTGTTCTCCTAGACGGAGATCTCGGTACCGGTGTCGGCAATATCTTTTCTCTCTTTTATTATTCCGCAGACAATGTGTCGCAATTTTCTTAAGGGGACCTTGAGTGCCATGCGCTTTCCTTCCTCGGCGAGAAGAAGGAGGGAAAAGAATATCCTTCCTCTGGTTTTGCCTTGCCACCTCTCGGGCTGATCTCGCTCCTGAGGATTTTGCACGGATCGCTGAGGTCCATTTTCAACAATGGTTCAATGATCTATCGTGACTGGATCGCTGGCGACCTCGATCGCTCGATCGAAGTATATTAGAGAGCGAGAGCTTCCACGTGTCTCTCGGTCTCCTGGAAATTAAATAAGGACATGACTACGAGTCGATAAGGACGTGACTCGCGTGTAGGATAATCGCGTGTTCCTCTCACGTGATTATCTTCTTTTTTTTTTCTTTTTTTTTTCCCCCCAATCGTCATTTTAGAGATATCCACGTAAAGCTCTGTTGTATCTTGTCATCTTGCCCAGGTGTGATCAGACTATACACATACAGAAGGATTATCATACACGTTCTCTACATAAAAAACAAAAATGGAAGCAATGCTTCTTTTTTTTTTCTCTTGATAAATTTTCGATAAACGATCGATTGAGATCTACGTCCATTTGCAAAAGTCGAAGGAGCAAGTGATTACATCCGTCGTCTGTGTTACACAACTCGTGCTATGTGAGAATTTTCTCTATGCAAATACACGCACCCGATATCCCGCGTCATTTCAGGCCGCGCGGAATGCGGAAATTGGCGCGGTTCAGCTGCGGAAACGGAAGGACACGCCCATGCCTTTACATAGGAGTACTTATCGAGAAATGGAATTCCTATAGATCGAGCATTTACCTTATATATCGGATATTGCTTTTCTATTTTTTTTTTCGTCCATCTTCATGGCGGATCGTTTCGGAGTAAATTCGATAAAACTAAATGTAGCCGTGTCTTTTTGTAACTCTTTATCATGGATACGCCGAGGACGTAGTTTCTAGAGTACTTAGCTAAATTTACGGTGAAACAGTGTATACCTTTTTTTTTTCTATTTTTTTTTTTTCGGGGGAGAAAATTCCTCGGAGGAAAAGAGGCCCTCGAGATGTGCCGAGCTCCACCCTCCTTTATTTATTCGGAGTATGATCAAATCGCCGCAAATATGTGGGTCAGATTAAATCCGCACTTCGGGCGTGTACATGCACGAGGGAAACTGGAGCAAGGTTCCAGACATGTGTAATTGGCACGTCTCGGCGGGATCGACGTTAATGATAATGACGAAACGCTCCGCGATAAAGGATATTACCGGTGCCTCGGTAATGTCGATACACCAGCGTGGTCTTCAATAATCAGAGGATTGCGATAACCTACGGCTTCATTACGCGTCTACTGCGAAATCATCTCCTCGGAAGAGAAGAAGAAATTGGCGAATAATCACTGGCCATTCCGACGGCATTCTCTTTCGCATCCTTCATGACGGCTTCGCGTCCTGCAAAGAGGAATTGATGAATTAAAAAGTCTCCCTCTTTTGCTTTAGACCCTCGAAGACGGCTTCTATTTGCCTTTCTTCTCGATTCTAATGAAATATTCGGGTACATAGGGAGGTGGCTGGCAATTAATTCCCTATTCATCGAGATATGTCCTGTCGCTTCTTCTTCGACGCCTTAGCAATGGCCTTCTTCTCGGCCTTCCTTTTTCCCCAACTTATCTCGGCGCTGCAATAGCTAAACACGTTGCGTTACTTCCACGTGACGCTGGCAATTCGTTGGCAAATAGGAATACGTCACCGCCGGTGGCTGCGCAAATACGTGCAGGACGGGTCTTCGACTATTTATATACGTAGATCGAAAACTGGGTACTCGCGGGCGGCCTTTTGCAGGTCAGGCTGCCGGAGCCCTCGAGAAATGTCCTGCAATGAAAACGCCCCACTTGGATTACATCGACGCGGTTTTAAGGCGACGTGGAAGTGTCATTCTGTACATGTCAAACCTGAAAACGTATATGACACCTTTCTCCAAACAGGGTGCACCGAGTAATTTGAAATTTCGACACGTGATTATGGAGGTCCTAAGGAAGAGCGCGACGCTCATGAAATTTCATTTTATATATATAAAGTTCTGAAGGTACCTATGAACAAATTTTTAAAAAATTGAAATTTTACCGCCGTCAGGACCTTGCTTATAGCCTTTATGTTCACGTTGTAAATTTTTAAATGATTCGATGTCGAAGAAGAAAATTCGGGGTGGTTGCATTTCCTTTTAGAGTTTAGTGGCTGACTGAAATAGAGAACCAGTTCCCAGGTGAGATACGCATGCCTGGGAACGTTTAGGTAATGACTTCCTTTTTCTAATGTAGGCTATTTATAAGGAGTCCTCAATAATTTCGCGATAGCGAATACTCGTCGGGTGGCTCGACGGATACACTGGAAGCTACTTAAAACTACTTTGAACGATGTTCGAAGTTTATCGGGGATGTCCCTTTTTTCCTTGTTGCAGGGTCTCCTGGATAAGTACCTGATCCCCAAGGCCAGCAATGCCGAGAGCAAAGTATTCTACCTCAAGATGAAGGGTGACTACTACAGGTATCTCGCAGAAGTAGCCACTGGTGACACCAGGAACAGTACGTATCGTTCGCCCTAATATTAGCATTATTTAAGGGATGCTATACGACAACGAAAACCCTATACCAGTATTCGGTAACCATCGGAATGAATATTTTTCCCCGCCACCCGTTTCCTTGGAAGTCATCCTTTTGAAACGTAATCTATAATTCCCTTTCCTGGTAATCATCCATTTGATATGCAATCTACAATCGGTTCCAGCTAAAACTCGCGATTAACGGCGGCATTTCTGCTTAATCTCGCTCACGATTAATTTACACAAACGGTCGTACAATTTAATACTCCCTAGGATCCTGGATATCATAATCGACCGTCTACTTTCAATCTCCCATTCCGATGGTCACCGAATTTCGAATAAACTGGATTATTAACATCTGGTATAATTTATATCTCCATGGCTTGTGGAAGTAGCTCGAAGTGTCGATTTTCTGGTCGACCATTGTCTCACAGGAACGAAAATGGCCACTCGCGGTTTAGTCGTGTCGAGGGGCATCGGACGTAAAAATTGCACATCGAGAGGGAACATTAAACGGCGTTTTCTGCCTCTACGGGACAGCTGCAACAACAGCTGCTCGTTTCAACCTTTTCTAACTAGTCTTCGAGCCCTCCTGCCATATACAGAGCACATGTTATATACGTGCATCTTGCGCGTATATCTAAGCGAAATCTTTGGGGAAAAAAAAAAAGAAACATCTTACGTACCCCTTCCGAGTATACAAGTTTATTATTATTTTTTTTTTTAATCTCCGGGGAAAATTTCAATTAGCTGTGGCCTCGGTATCTGCCTAAAATGTGGCAGAAGGAGTGAACGATTTTTTAAGCCATGTCGACGTAGTCTTTAAGGTGTAGCTCTTAAGGCGGTCGTGGGGTGGATTCGCCATTAACAATTGTTAGGAATACTGAAAATCACCATCTCTAACTATTCCGCTGCCCTGCGTCCCCCAAACAGCCGTGGTAGAGGACAGCCAGAAGGCGTACCAGGACGCGTTCGAGATCAGCAAGGCTAAGATGCAGCCCACTCATCCTATCAGGCTAGGTCTCGCCCTCAACTTCTCGGTCTTCTATTACGAGATCCTGAACTCCCCAGACAAGGCCTGTCAGCTGGCCAAACAGGTACAGAGAGTACTCGACCCGAAATAATCAATCCTACGTCCCCGTTGCAGGTCGCTGGATTCAGGAGCGACGACACGCGAGGATGGTGGTGGTGCAGTGGTGACGATCGTTAACGCCGTGACGAAGATCCGTTGCGAGTGGAGGCACCCCCGAACCTCGTTAACAGCCTCCAGAAGGATCAGATCCATCCTAACGAGTCCTTAAATCGGAGAAAAGTTAGAGCCCTTCGGCTCTTCTCGGCGTTGAATTAATCCCGAAGACCTTTCTTTTGAGATTTAACGTTAACACCTTGCCGGTGCTTATCACGGTTGCGTGATAAAAAAAAAAGTCAACGACAATGTGTTAACTACCTTCGCGTGATTGTTGCTTTCACGGTCCAGATCGATCTCGAGGTCAGGGTATGACAAATTTCCTCGGAAATGTTTCTTGCCAACGATTGGATGGCGCTTACAATTGGATGGACTAGGCCTAGAAGAAAGGCAGGATCTGGATGAGGAAACGAATCCTACACTCGCAACGGATCGGGCCTATGTACTCGTTACCTTATCCGGGAGGGGATGGGGGCACAATGATGCCGAAAACGGAAGCTAACGACAAGACTGTCGCGAATTGTCATATCTCACGTGTGTTCCCGGTGGTTTGCGTTTCCAGCGGTGGTCGAGGATTCGCAGAAGGCGTACCAGGAGGCGTTCGACATAGCGAAGGCCAAAATGCAGCCGACACATCCCATCAGGCTCGGTCTCGCCCTCAACTTCTCCGTTTTTTATTACGAAATTATTAATTCCCCGGCAAGGGCTTGCCATTTGGCCAAGCAGGTTAGCCGAGGCTCTGTGTCTCTGTGTGGTGCTTGAGTTTTGAGACGTACTCGCGGACTGGCAACGAGCGGCTTTTAATTTTCTTATCGCGTGTTCTTTCTTCTTTATTTTTTCCTTTTCTTTTCTTCTTATTCTATCTCTTTCTCCTGCACCTCCTACCGGTCTTGCCCCGATTCTCCGGGTGCTGTCGTAATGAGATTATATCGGAGTCTAGCAAACTCCTGGCGCGCAAATCGAGTTAACACGGTCTATAGGGAATTTAGATGCCGTTTAGGAATTCATGCCACTAGATCGTTTCCTAGGGAGAAAATCGGGCCTCTGTATGACGGGGACCAAGAACGCCCTCCGTCGAATCAGTCCCTCGAATGCTGATTATTAGCGGTAATTCATGGGGGTGTTACTTATCTCTAGATATCTCTTGGTATTAAAAAGGAAAAGGGGATATTTTGGAGCAGCTCGCACTCTTTCTTTCTTTCTTTTTTTTTTTTCGATTTATTTAGCTCGACGCATTTTAACACCTACTCGTGATTCACCTGGCTAGTTTCTTTTCCGATACTTTGCGACATACCTCCGGGACGTTTCAAGTGATACCTTATCGTAGCTAAAGTCGACTCCTTTGATCCTTACGAGGTGTCCAGATTCGAGAATAACAGTCTAATCATAATTTCGAAGGGCCTGAAAATGGGGATCGGTCTTGCCGAAAATCACGGGAAGTCTTATAATTTCCCCTTGCTGCGTTGGAGTGCGAATGCGCGTGTGTGACTACTAATACGAGATTATGATGTGCGACGACCGACTGACCCAGATATACGTACACGTTGGGAATGTTCACTGTGACGTCTCCACTGTGCCACTAACCACCTTGTGTTTTATTCCTCTAACCAGCGATCCGAGAAAGCATCGCCCTTCGGAGAGAGACCTCCGAAGGGTTTGTTTTCGACGGCCCTTTTTTCTTTTTTTTTTTTAATCCGCATTGTATCGTGCTTCGAGATCAGAGAAAGCGTCCGCTAACCCGAGATTTTGCTGAAAAGCCTGGATAAAGAGAGAAAATATATTCAGAAAATTGGGAGCGATGCCATCAAATTTGTACATTCAATTCTTTCAATATGTTATCGTGTAATTTCAGTCATGGATTTTTCTTGGATTTTAAACGTTCATTCCATAAGGCGGTTCTCGATGTGTTGCGTATTTTCTTTCTTTATTTTTATTAGGGGGGAAAAATAAAAACATTTCTTTTTGAGGGAGAGAGAATTCATATCGTGCATTTAAGAGGCAGACGCTTCTCTGGTCCCGGACCACTTCCTCGGAGATGGATCTAAAATTGTTGACTGCACCTTTTACAGGCGTTCGACGACGCAATCGCGGAGCTGGACACACTAAACGAGGATAGCTACAAAGATTCCACGTTGATCATGCAGTTGCTGCGCGACAACCTCACTCTCTGGACCAGTGACACGCAGGGCGACGGGGACGAACCACAGGAGGGCGGCGATAACTAACCCTCCTAAGATTAAGAGTCCTACCCTTTCTAACCTAATAAGAACATCCTATTCTCTATCGTCCCCGCCCCCTCCCGGATCCTCTTCTCAACGATTCACCCCCGACACCCATCCTCGCGCATCCACCTCTGCCTTCTGCCCCACGGCCCTGTCCACCACTCTCTCGTTCTCGAGCCACCCGGAAGACAAGAGTCCTTCCCCCTCTCGACCCACCACCTGTTGTCCTTCGTCTCCTCGGGAAGAAAGAAAGTCGAGGCGAGAAAGGGGAAGAAGATAACAATAGAAGAGAACAAGCCGACCGCGCGCCTGTTGCCGGCGTTGCTATTGCTGCTCCCGATCATCGAAACGCCCTCAGCCGACCGGAGGATACGAAGAGGGCCGACCTGGAAACGATCCCACATCCTGGCCCGATATCTTTGATCGGATCTCCTGGACAGCCGAGACCTCGTCGAGGTCGGAGGCCCTCCAGGTCGTAGGATAAGGTCGTCGGGTAGTTCTCCACGTCGTGGCCGAGCGATCGAACGAACGTCCTGGACCTCGACATTACCTTCGTCGTCGGCGTCGCCGTCCACTCGAGACACCATCGGATCCCCGGAGGTCGAGGTCAACTACTCGGGGTCGACGAGGACGGTCGCGACGTCGACGACTTCCGGCCGTGACCTATCCTCTCCCTCTTTTTCTCTCTCTCTCTCTCTCTTTCTCTTTCTCCTGAGTCGTCGATACGGCGGAGGGAGGAAGAGAACGGATGGCGGGAAGAAATAGAGGGGAAACGGTGGAAACGGGACTTCTGAGAGCGAGAGTCACGGGTAGGTCAGGGACGGGGTCAGGGCCGAGACCGAGGTCAAGGCCGCGCCAGGTCGGGTCGCGGAGCGAGCGTTTCGCAACGGGCGAAGAGCACGAGTCGAGGGGGCGAGAGTCGTGTCTAGGAAGTGCGAGAACGATCTCCCGGGTTTCGTCGAGCTCCCCCGAGGGGAGGGAACGGAAGGGAAGGAACGAGCGCCGTCGAGAAGCGAGGAGACGGGAGAAAAACTTGCGAGGGAACGCGCGAAAGAAAGAGAGAGGGAGAGAAAGAGAAAACGAGAGGAACGTACCGCTGTCGCTAAAAAAACCCGACTCTCGGCGAAATCACTTCTGCCACCCGATACGGCTAATACGAAAGAGATAACGAACACGCAAGGATATATTCTATACATATATACCGGGCTTCGAGAGAAGGGGTAACAATGAGGAATCGCATGGAACCCGTCTACGTTATACCCCAGTTATCATTAAATTAAATTTCTCATTCGTCTAGCGAGTAACTTACTATTAATTTTATGTGGAAGAGAAGGAACGCAGGAGGAGGAAGGAGAGTAAACTAAATACATTAAGTTATTAAGTTCCGAACGTGGACATCAGTGGTGGCTTGATTTCGCATTCGGTACACTTGCCTTTCTTCCGGCTCTTTCTCTCGCTCTGTGTGACACACACACACTCTTTCTCTCTCTGTTTTCTCTCTTTCTCTCGTTACGTAATCTCCGCCTCTGTGTCTGATATTTTTCTTCTTTTTCTTTCTCTTTCTTTCTTTTGTTTTTTTTTTACTCCGTTCCAATTCTCATCTCTTCGAGGTGTGTTTCCTCTTTCGTTCTTTCGGCTATCCTCTCTTCGCCCTCTACGATTCCCGACACTGTCACCCGGATAGATAATATAATCTTCGACCGCTGACACCCGACATGTTCGATTTCGACAGCTCCTTCAGGCACCGTCGACTGCCATCGTACATTTTTTTTTCCCTATGTGGAAAATGGAAGGCCGAATGAATTTCTAAATATCGATGGAAATAAAGCGCTCCGACAATTTCATTTTTTTTTTCCTTTTTTTTTTTCTTCCCCCGTTAAACTCGAGAGGAGACAAAGATTGTTGTAAAACCGCGTGCATCGATACCCATCTCACCGGCGATCCTCTCATGCTTCTTCTCCCTCGGCTCTTCCTTCTATCTCTCTCTCTCTCCTTTATTCGGATTTCAACGCCTGGACGTCCCGATTCCTACCCCCTTAACGTTAAAAGGAAAAGAAACTACTATAATGCATTCAATCGAGATATTTACGAGCTCCGTAAAATATCTCGTACCGCTTTCTCTCTCATGGGAGGGATGAAATTATACATATATACATATATATATTTACATGCATATATATACACTCATATATATGTACAACCCTGAACGTGGAATTTTCACTGTACTTCCGAGATATCCCTTTCGCAAGCTTGAAGAGGAGACGGATAATCACCTAGAGACGCGCGCAAGTCTTCGCCCCCCCTTTTTTAATTGTATTTTTTTTTTATCAGTCACACGTTTTCGGATTGATAACGCGAACGCTGGACAAGAGCCAAGACGGGGGAGAAGTTTGTCCCGAAAACTAGCGAGATAATCTAGGGAGAATCGATTGAAGGAGTTCCTAGAGATAACCGCGGAGTTTACGGGATAGGACGCGGCAAGAGGGGCCCTCGAATGATAAGGACTTCCGGCGCAACCTCGAGTTCGAGACTGCGAGCCGAGTTTTCCGTTGACGATCGAAAAGTTAAGAGAGATCGAGAGCGAGAGAGAGAGAGAGAGAGAAAGAGAGAGAAAGGAAAACGAGAACGCACGGCGAGGAGTCGCGAAAAAAGCGGCTTATCAGGGTACATCGAAGCTGCCGGAAGTGGCCTCGCCAAGATCCTTTATCTAATTTCCTTCGCACCACATAAGAGAGAGAGAGAGACACACGCGACCCGTCCCCTCTGTCTCTCCGTTGCTCTCTCCCCCTCTCCGCCTCTTATTATTATAAATATACTACGGAAAGCAAGTAATAATCGATATTCTACGTTCGGATAAACGTTTCGCTGTCGTGTCGGTATTTCTCGATGTATATCGGTGTCCAAGCGAAAGGGAGACGGCAATGTCGAGGGGATGTAAAGAAAGATGCGAGATATACCGTTGAAGTAACGAGAGTCTCGTCGGTGGAGGCGCGTCGAGACGTAGAGAGGAAGAGAGGAGCGAACAGGCGAGAGAATAGCGAGAGAGGAGTGTATGCTCGTTAGTTCGGTGTTTCCCCGGTGGCGCCGCCAGAACCGTCTCGCCAGTGGCCCCCACCCCGCAAATTATTCGTCGATCCGAGATATCGAGCCTCCGAAGAGGGCTCGTCCAACCTATGTGTACCGAGCCTTCGAAGAGGGTTGTCCAGGTGTATCAGCGATCCCCCAGGGGGCCGGGGCCGCGTCTCGGGCCGGTTTAGACCCGAAGAAACGAGAGATTCGGGGCGTAAAGTTAAGGATCTCGACGCCGAGAACGCGCGGTCGGAGCCCGGGCATCCGGGTCTCCTCCACGTCACGTCTCCCAGGGGGTATATATTGCGCCTCCGACCCACGTCCGGTCTTCCCTCGCGAGCGTTGGGCCCGACTTCACCGTTCCTCCCTCCCGAACCATCCCTGTCGGCCGTTCGGTCCGCTCGCCCTGTGTTCTTCGCTCTCCGGCTACGCGGGCGCCTCCCCCAGGAGGCGACGTCGCGGTTCGCTCTTCATTTCGCTTACTTTCGGTTCCTCCTTCTCTCCCCTCGTTCCTTAATGCGATATGAAAGTGACACTATATATAAAACGTCCTCATATTTATGAGACTTTTCTCCATACTGGGAGCATCAAATCATTTCAGTCTTCACCACGTGATTATGGAGGCCCTTAGGAAGAACGCGATGCCGGTTAAATTTCCTTTTTCCTCGAAAAAAAGAAAAAATGGGATATCTTGGTTCTAGTCTAGGATGATGAACATTTTTTTTTCTCTCTTAGAGAAATGAAGTTTCACCAGCATCACGCTCTTCCTTAGGGCCTTTGTAATCACGTGCTGAAGTTTCAAATGATTAGGTGTACTCGGTTTGGGGAATGGTTTTATCAATATTTTCACATTTTCACGAATAGCATGACCCTTTCATGTGACCTTAAGGTCCTTAACGTATATAATATGTGGCACACGAGCCGGACGGTAGTTTTACTCGACGACGACGTGCGCAGTCCTCTTCCCTCCCGAGGGGCGAGAGACTCTGTGTATATTCTTTCGGTTCGTCCTCGAATCGGTGTACGCGGTAAGTTCCTTATATATTGGCCGCTTCCTCGGGTACGTCGTTCCTCGATAAACCTCGGGGAACGACGCACTCGCCTCTCCCCAGGGACACCCCCGCGTGATATCGCACACCTCCGATTATCGCCAAGTCGCTCGACACCCTATTAATTATTAACTATCTTACATTATTAACGAGCCATGCCATCTAATAGCCGAGTCGACGTATCCACCCGAGGAACTCTATTCGTAATTATCCCACGCGTGAGACGCGCGCGCGTGCTCGCGACGTTATACATACACGTTGGCGACACACACGTATACACCCACGAGACATACACCCGCGTTACACGACTTCCTGGCACCTCCGATCATTTTGCTCCCCTTTGCCCGCCATTTACGCCACGAGTCTCCCTCTTCCTCCCACCCACCCACCACCCACCCACCCAACTTCTCCCCCCGTTCCCGAAATTACGTTGTTCTATTTGTATTTATCATCAACCATCGTAATTGTAAATTATAATTATTATAAACGTTTACACGAAATAATAAATTCTGATAAAATGTCTGAGAAAAAAAAAAAATATGAGAGAAAGAAACAAGTAACTAAGTCATGAGAGTACCAACGATGTATTGCTTTGAGGGATATGTGTATGTCGTCGGTGTTTGAGCCGTGGGGATGATTACCCATTTGTCAAGGTTTACTGCTCGACTATTTCGAGAGATGGTCGATGGGTGGAGATGGGATTGAGAATTTCTGGGGATGAAGACCGCTCGGCGATGGGATCAGACAGGATTAATTATCTTGGTTGGTGCTTCTTCGGGATGCGTCTTAAAGGGCCAATCTAATCAGGGACATTATTTCATTACTTTCAAGAATATTCTGCACCGAGGGAACAATTTCTTTATCACATATGTATTTATTTCGAACTCCCGAATGGTTCGTGATCATTTTTAGGCAAACGGAGGTTCAATGAACATTCATTATCTTCTTTTTTTTTTTTTGACAAAAAGGGGATTTGAAAGCAAACGACCTTGCCATTCAGATTTTAGACACGAATTTTATTGTTTGTTTAACCGTTCTTTAAATGTGGTGTCGCGACACCGCGATGGCCCCACGCGATTGTAAATTTGGAGTTTGAAATTATTGTGATAATTGATGGTAAGTAATGGAGTCTTGCAAGAGGTGGAAATAACGAACACGTCGGCTCGGTAAACTTGAAGTGCGATATTTGGGATCCCTTCGGATACGTAAATGTAGAATGACGAAGTTGCACCGTGGGGCCATCGGTGTTTGTTTTTTGTTTTTTTCTTCTTAATCGACAAAAGTATTGGAAATACGAACGGAGTGGATGATCTCTCGACAATAACCTGGGACAATCCTGGACACTGTTGCCCCTGGTCCCATCGTTCTTGGTTCGACTACGTTAAGAAATGTGCAGCAGTCTCGGACGTGCAAGTCTTGTCAATTCGCCGAAAGAGATTCTAGAACGAGAGAACGGGGTTATCAGAGGAACCCTTTAAACGCTCCTAGTCTGCATTTGGAGATAAACGGAGAGATAGATCGAGCTCGTTGCTCGCCATTAGCAATACGAACGAACCGCAGGGCTTGGAGTTACCTTCTCGAGTACTTATTAATCGTACATAGGTGTACTCTTTTCCTTTTCATGTCAGTGGTATACGTATGCATACACGTATATGTACACATAGTGGTGTATACTCTAGATGAATGTACGTGCCTTTTCCGACAAGAAGGGCCTACCGACTAACATGCTATAACATTTTTTGCACAATTTATACGTGTAGCCGATACGAGGGTTCTGCCAGGAATAGTCGTCGAGAGAGAAAGATAAAAAGAAACCATGGTACATTAGACGGAAACAGGGAGGCTTTCCCCGCGGATAGAGACCGACATTTTGACGCGATTGTAGACGGAGCCAGCGAATTTCAACCTACGGGGCTTAACAAACATTTTGGGGGGGAATCGTGGATCATATGCAAATTATTCTCTAAGCCGAATCGCGACGACATCTGCCCCTTCGGCGCGGGAGTTTAGTAACTTCTACTTGTCCTCCGACTTTTTATTCCATATTCGAGAGGTGTATCTTGTATATTTTCACTAAATGTATTGTGGCACATGTCGAAGGCGGATTGTTCGACGTTAAACGGTATCGTTAACAGCATTTCCCTAGGTCAAGCTCGTCGCGTTTTTCAACTGAGAAGAGATTTCTTCCGAAAATTTAAAATGGAAAGAAAATTGCCTATTCAAAATTTCTCCCGAACTTTCAACCGAGAGGGGTTTATTTCTCCAACAATGGGGGAAAAATCACGCGCCCCACGCGGTTAAATAATTATTTTTGCTAATCGACGTGCCTTGTCCGAGTACTCGTTAAGAGCCATTGTTACGTGATTTAAATTCAAGCGTTTTTTGCCCCGTGGTTTTTCCTCGTTAACATTAACAACTACGCAATTTGTCCTCGCGTTAATTTTCTCTTGACTAAATTCTTTCGATTATTATTTTTTTTTTCCTTTACTTTTATGTTAAGCCCTTAATTGTTTCACGCAACAAATGAAGGGCTACGAGATGCGGTGTCACAATACTTTTTCGTACCGTAAATGATTCATCGACGAGTACCTCGATACGTCTTTTAAGAACAATAATTGCACGTTGTCAAGGTTTTATTAGGTAAAACCCAACTCGATCGATAAAACACTCCATAGGGACACAGAGAAATGTAATGCTCACCACGTACTACGAGGGAGGTGTTACATGTTAATGAATAATTAACCCGGATAAAGGTTGAACATTCGAAACGCTGGATATTTAAGAATCGTTATTGCGCGGGTGAATAGCACGATAAAGTAATATTATTGCGTAGAGAACAATCCCCGTTGTAGCGACAAAGCTCGAGGAGATTGAAGTCCCGATTAAAAGTGTCCTAATGTCCGTACGTCGTGATCGCGTAAAGTGTATAGATCTTTTGTCTTTCCATTCCTTCGTCGTGATCCTTCGTAAAATCGGCAACATTTTCTGTACATCCTCCAATATTGTTCTTCCATCAAGGAGACGTGATCTACCCTTAACAACAACCCCCACGACATTCCCTTAAAAATGTGTCGATCGGCTAATCTTAAATCTTAAAACCTGGAATATCATTACAGATGTCTTTCGCTCTATCAGCTTTCCCTTTGCATCGACTTCTCACGGTACAAGTCTTACCTCTGACTTTTTGTTTTCCCATAATCGTTTAATCACATTTTTTTTTTCTCCTCACTTCTCTCTCTCTCTCTCTCCCTGGAGATGTAAAGCGAAAAGCTGGGGCACTATCTTCCTCGACCCTTCTGTCTCCTGCGATGTACCATCCTAACGATCGCCTCGTCGATTTCTCGAGTTTTATTATCCCCGGAGAGAAGTCGACGAGCCATTGGTGTGTACCTTGAAACTTTGTCGCTACGGTAACCCTCCTAAAGTCGTTGTTACCTTGAGTTTCGCTCTAATTGTAACCACTTTTTAAGCCGTTGCCCTATCCTCGCCCCCACTGCGTAGTTCGAAGCCTTTTCGATCAGCTATATTACATGCGTTAAATGGATTTAATGAGTGAACAACCGATTGCGAGTTTGGCGGGGTGGTGTTTGTAAATAAAATTGTGAAAGCGAGCACCTATGCGGTATTCATTGGTATGTCTCCTAGTAGAGGGCCGGGGTAGATCGGGCTAGATCAATCTTGAGAAGGTAACGATCGCGATGATCCATGATGCTGCGACAAGGCTTGACAGAGTACGTGGAGAAAGTAACAGAAGGACGAGACTGGATGCACGTATCTACGTGTCTAGATGTCCCGTTTTTAAATTTAAGTCTCACCCGAGCACGTAGCCTGACGCAACCTTGGGTCACAGGTTTCAACGGTTCCCCGAAGTCCTGGATGACGACATCGTTCCTGCGGAAGAAATCACCGTTTTAAACCTCTACCGGCTCATTGGCGACTCCCCAAGGTCTCGACAAAGTTTCCGAAGATGTCTGAAAGGATGATGAACGAACCTTGATGCCTTTTGCAGTCTCAGAAGGCTTCCTTCATCGAGCCTTTACAGTGGCCTGCGTCGTTCCAAAAATGTCGACGCCTCTCAAGATATCCCCACGTCGACGATCATCCGAAACCGTATCCCTTGCGTAACGTATTCGCCAATAAAAATAGAACGACGCCTAATACCTGGAAATAGCAAAAAGTTGATTGAAAGGCATTATAAGAGGTTTCTAATTAAAATATATCTCTATAACCCTGTCTCATTCGTAAGATAAAATGAAATCAAATATCATCTTATACATTAGCCAGGTTCTAATACATATGGAAAACGCACGGATTCTGTAATAGAAAGGCGGGTAATTCGGACCCACGGAGAAAGAAACGTGATCGCGGTTCCGCGTACCAAAAATACCTATCGCTTGAAAAACCAGGTCCATGTGGTAGGTTTGAAAATTCCCGGAATTCCCGCGCAGCAGCCGCGCGCCTATTGGTTGATGCCGGTCGCTGATTGGTCGAGCGGCGCTGGCGCCATCTAGGGTTGCGCGGCCGCTCATGTTCGCGGTTCTCGCGTGTCGGGGATGAGAGTGGGGGTAGTCGAGTGTATAGGGAAGGTCACCTTCAGCCGCGAAAACGTCGAGCAGGTGACTTCTGTCAGTAGCTCGGTGGACGCACTCTCTTCAAGCTCGAGCCGGACGCCCGCGAGGATCGTGCAACTCCGAGTCCATCTCTTTGTATTTCTTGGTAAGTATGTCGTCATATCGGCGTCGGATCCCGGGGCTCCTTAATTCAGAGACACCCGATGGGTGTGCGGCGGTCGCGATAAAAGAATCGCGTTTGTAGTCTGCACGCTAGCTGCGTGGTGTCCGGCGTCACACGCCCTGTCTTCGTGCACGGCATTCTGACATGCGTGAGGTCGAGTGTCATCGGATTCTTTCGGATTTCGAAGCTTTTCAGAAGCCGGCCCTTCGCATACTTCGAAGTCCGGCGAATGACAGTCCTCCTACGACACTTGTCAGACGTTGACAAATGACGAAACGCGCTGGGCTCGCGCCTCGCCGCTGTCAGGAAGCTATGTGAGCTATGCGGAAGTTTTCTGGCACCTCGATTTAATCCGCTGAAATTTCTGACGAATTTCAGATCGTAACAGTGACGCTGTTTTCTGTCGTTTTTTCGTTTTAAATTCAAGGAAGAGAGTGGGGTCAATTTGGCGTGATTCGCCGCGGCTCATTGGTATGATTGATGGGTTTTTATTCGAATGCCGCGTGAGGATATTGTTTTGGCGGGTGGAGTTTATTAATAGATGGATTCCAAATAATTCTCGGTTGAGACGTTACCTTGAGGACCAATAGGAATCGGATGGCGAGAGAATTGAGCCACGGAATTGATGGTAACTGATCTCGTATCGTGCCGTTGGGTGCGGAGCAATTGACGGTGCTTTATTACCGCAAAATCTTTGTGTTGGTGCGGTAACACCAGAGATGTGGACGCATCGTTTACCGTTGTTTCTTGTTTTTCACCCAAACCTATTTTCTGTTTATGCCTTCTGTCATGCTCAATTGAAGTTCACGGTACGCTTGGAGTTGCTCTGCCAGTAAGGTTATGTTTTCCTTGCAGGGTATATATGTCCCTGAAATGGAACTATGCATTTTAGAGTAGGTCAGTGGTTTAGTTTTTATTTCATTTTCAAGCATGAATGACGACTCGAATAGCTGGAGGGCATTCTTGTAGTTGCAACGATGATGGTGCTTCTAAGGAAGTGGAACAAAGTTCACTTGCAAATATTCAGGGTGAATACCAAGATCAAGTTGATATCATACAGGAAAAGAAAGATATGCAGTCGTGTGTGGATAAGTGGGACAGGGAACGAATCTTTCTACGTAATGCCATGCGGTCATGTAAACCGACACTTATTTATAGAACTCCATAATAGTTATGCAAACATGATTTGCCTGGAAAGTACTATTGAGACTGCAGAGAATACATAATATAATTTAGAGCTTTAGAGTTAATTTTATAGAGGGAAATAAAAGTATTCGAGGAGAACGAAAGGAGTAGAAAGGTCAATTACTACCAATCTAGATGACATCTGTTTAGATTGATGACATGTTTCAAGGCTGTGATAGTAATACATGTTATATCGGAAGTAATTTCTTAGAATGACAATAGATTACGTCTAGGTTTGACTGATAGTTACCATTTAAGGTATGGGCACTTGCGACTGATTCTTTGATCTCTCTTATATGTTTAATAATTTTACATGGTATACATTCAAGAGCTCTTTATTTTACAGGCTGTGGTTCAACAAAATACCATCATGGGGGAGGACCAGGTGTCACAAAAGTTTATAAAACCTGGCAGTCATAAAGGCAAAGGTATCGCAGTATTCACCAGTGGTGGTGATTCTCAAGGTATTTATTCTGCTTAATTGTAAATAGATAATTTCAATCAGCCACATTATGAACCATGGAAGTAATAATTGATTTATATTCTTAGGTATGAATGCCGCAGTGCGTGCAGTAGTACGTATGGGAATTTACTTGGGATGTAAGGTGTTTTTTATTAAGGAAGGATATCAGGGTATGGTAGATGGTGGTGAATACATTGTGGAGGCAACGTGGTCTTCCGTTTCTTGTATTATTCACAAAGTATGTATAATTATATAAGTTTTATCTACCTTCACAATTAATGATAAAATGAAATTCTCTTCAGGGTGGCACGGTAATAGGTTCCGCTAGATGTGCAGAATTCAGAGAGCGAGCAGGTCGTCGAAAAGCTGCCAAGAATTTAGTAGCTCATGGAATTACTAATTTAGTTGTAATCGGTGGAGATGGTTCCCTCACAGGTGCTAATCTCTTTAAGGAAGAGTGGCCCGAACTCCTCAAAGAGCTTCAGCAGTCTGGTGATTAAAAAAAAATAAAAATGACAGCGTTTCTTGAAAAAAATCAGAGTTTTTGTAAATATTATCTGTTGAAAATTTCAGGAGAAATCACCGCTGATCAAGTTGAAAAATATAAGCACCTTCACATTGTTGGTATGGTGGGTTCCATCGATAATGACTTTTGTGGAACAGATATGACTATCGGTACAGATTCTGCCTTGCATCGTATAATCGAAAGCATTGACGCAATTGTCAGTACCGCTTATTCTCATCAGCGAACATTTATTATGGAAGTCATGGGTCGGCAGTGCGGGTGAGTTTCTTCTTTAAAAATATACATTGTTACTCTTCATCCATTTAACATTACTGTAGTTCCATTATCTGGCCTGCGATTCATTTACTTAGGTCAATGTTCGTTTTACTCAACTTTGAATGAATGGAACGTTGGTGACATAAGTTTCCATTTATTGTTAAATGTGAATGACATACAGGTAATCGGTCATTAGTCTCAGTTACCAAACTCATCTAATCGTTCTGTAAAGAATCGTGAATAAGAAATTATTTTGGTTAGGTACCTCGCCATCGTTGGTGCTCTAGCCGCTGAAGCGGACTACGTATTCTTCCCAGAATGTCCACCCCCCGTCGACTGGCCCGAAAAACTATGTAGAAAATTGGAGCAGGCATGTTCAAATCGAATCTTCCAAATTTCTCTTTTGGATTACGCTGTTTTGGCTAACGTTGAATTAACTAACGAAATGATTTTGAGAATTTTGATGTTTTTAATTACTGAGTACTGTATGCTTGTGCTCCATGTTTAGTTTACAGCTGTACTTTGTACGAGTCTTCAATCCGCTTTTGAAATCAGCCGATGGAAAATGAATTCAGTTTTTTTATTAAATGTTACTAATGTAGATATAGACCGCAATATAATCAAAAGTCAGGGCCGTTCAAATGTCTCTAAAATTGCCGGGTTGTAGCCGTGTTAGCTTGCGACTCTTTTATTTTTTACTCAATTACTAGGCCCAACAGCTTTGTTACAATGCAATGATTGTGTTAAGAGAATTCTGCGATTACGTCGGAAGATATGCTTCAGCAACTTTTTTTTGCAAACCATGTGAAAATGACATGCTCTTGTCTTTTTTGCCACTTTATGATGAATGGAAATGGACAACTCCATGAGCATTCTTAGATTGGTAAAACAATTTTTGTACACATATTGCCAACAGCTGGGAATCATTAATATTGAACACTTTTGACAATGTCGCGTAAAGGAATATGTCTAGTATGTTAGTAAGTTTTCAGTTTTCTCAACTTACTTCCTAATACAAGAAAATTACAATTGTATAATGAATCGTATGGCCTTTGGGTTGACTACACGATAAATATCGACATATATTCGTGTATGTGTGAGGTTTGGCGATCTAACATTACAGCTACCTGGCTCTGGTGGCAGCCATATGCTCCGAAGCAGACTTTGTCTTCATCCCAGAGTGGCCACCCGAACACGATTGGCCGCACAAGCTCTGCAAAAAATTATTGCAGGTTCGCTAATAATTTTTTTTTTTAATTTTGTAGTAGCGATTTAACGAATTCTCTCCTCGTGCATATGTTAAGCTCTTTAAGAGAATTAAAAACATTAATTCCACAAAGTGTACTTTGGTATAGCAATTGTAGTAAAGTACATACTTCGTGCTATTTATGCTTATCTCTTTGTATGCTTGAGATTGTATTGGTCGTACATTTTATATGTATTATTTATTTGCGTACAGATTTTCAAAGATCTATATTTATGCTGCATTAAATCGGGTTATTACATATTTAGGAAGAGGATTAAGCAGTGTCACTCGCGACGTGCTCGTGTAAAGAGGTTTGCGACCATTTTTTAGCCATCTTTTTTATTTATAATTGTGTAATGTGGCATTCAGCTTTTACTTATAATCCCTAACTGCATGTGTTGCGATAAGGCATGCCACCGATGTAACAGTAATCAAAATTGTCTTAATAGATGATTCACTTTCGAGAACAATATATATTGTTATGCGATGAATTTAATGCAGCCACAAATCTTGTAGGAAATTTATATTATAATTTGTTAAATAATTCTTTTCGCCATAGGAACGTCTCACTGGTCAGCGTCTGAATATCATCATTGTGGCCGAAGGTGCTGTCGATAGGAACGGTGACCCAATCACAGCTGAAAAAATTCATAAAGTCGTTGTAGACAAGTTAAACCAAGATACGAGAATTACTGTGCTTGGCCATGTACAAAGAGGCGGTAATCCGTCGGCTTTTGACAGAGTTTTGGTAAGTTGATTTCGATGTACATCCATTGTTCACACAATTAAAGTCCTGACTACTTTTTATTTTATTAGTATTAATTATTTTTCTTATATTTTCCAATTTATCTTTATTATCTATGTTATTTATCTCGACAACTTTTTTGCATATCGAATATTCAGGGATGCAGAATGGGTGCCGAAGCTGTGATGGCTCTTATGGAAGCAACGCCGGCTACAGAAGCATGTGTAGTCACTTTGGATGGAAACCAAGCCGTACGTTTACCTTTAATGGAATGCGTACGTCGTACAAAAGCAGTTGCTCAAGCAATGGCCAACAAAAATTGGGATCTTGCCGTACAGCTTCGTGGGAAGTGAGTTCCATTCATTTCGTATTTCATGTCAATTATTCTTTAAATAATTGACTTTTTGCAATTTTTTTTCTATGTTACATGACTGATTTAAGAAATTAATGTTTGCAGGGGATTTGTTCGGAATCTGGAGACGTACAAAATGTTGACTCGATTGAAGGCGCCCGTCGATCATGAACCTGGCAAGGTGAGTCTTTTTCCATGAATATAGTTTTTGGTATCTTGGAGTCTTAAATAATTTCTTTCTGCAACATTTATATTCTAACACAAATTTAGAAAAATATATTAAAACCTAGATTAGATTATAACGGTCGGTTTATATACTTATTGTTCAACACTGCTGCAGGAGAATAAAGGGCCGACATTATCGAAGGTAATTGAACTCGAAAAAAGTGACGCCTCACGTATTATTAAATAGCTCCGCTAGTGGCATAATCTACTTCTATTAACCTTATCTTCTTTTTCTCAAAAGCAATTCACTTTGTGTGGACAAGTAAGTTGACGTTATCTCGAGCAATAACTATTGATCTGTCCTCATTCAATTGATGTCTCTGGATGACAACTATTCCTATTCAATTGCGGCATGGTTCTTCCCCGGTCTTTTAAGATCTTCATCTTTGACTTCTGCAGCGCTAGATCTTTTACTATCGCGAACGTTTTGCATGTCGCTTGTTGTTTTATATATTTTCGGTAAACACGTACTTTAATTCCAGGATCTCTACACCTTGGCTGTGATGCATATCGGTGCCCCTTCCTGTGGCATGAATGCCGCTGTTCGTTCCTTTGTCAGGAATTGTATTTACCGCGGAGATAAAGTAAGTGTACAATATTAAGAAAACTATGATGTCAACGGTTGCAATTACTTTATAACACTGTCTATGATTGACGCCCATAGGTCTACGGGATTTGCGATGGTGTCTTAGGTCTAATAGCAGGAAAATTGAAGCTCATGGATTGGTCTTCGGTAACCGGTTGGGTCGCACAAGGTGGTGCTTATTTAGGTACAAAACGTTCACCGCCACAGGAAGAACAGTTGCCACTAATTGCACAGAGATTGAAGGAGTTTGGAATTCAAGCCCTGTTGATTATTGGAGGCTTTGAGGTATCATATGTATACATGTGATCAATTGTTATTGAAATCTGTACTGTTATTTTCGCAATGTAACATTGAATATATTTTATAATATATATTTATTCTCACAGGGTTATCAAACTGGTCTTACGTTCTCCAAAGCTCGAGAAAAGTACGAAGAATTCAGAATTCCAATTGCCATGATTCCTGCAACTATTAGCAACAATGTTCCTGGAACTGAATTCTCTTTAGGTTGCGACACTGCCCTTAACACGATTACAGAGGTATTGTGTTGATGTTTTTCCTCTGATTTATTGAGATTTAAAAATTGACTATTTTTAAGACATGAACGGTTTCTAGATCTGCGATCGCATTCGTCAGTCTGCACAAGGAACGAAACGTCGAGTGTTCATCATTGAAACAATGGGCGGCTATTGTGGTTATTTAGCTACAGTAGCCGGTTTAGCTGGTGGCGCCGATGCTGCTTATATTTTCGAAGAGAAATTCAATATTAAAGATTTGAACCAAGACGTCATTGCCATGGCTGCAAAAATGTCGGAAGGCGTACAGCGAGGTTTAATTCTGAGAAATGAAAACGCAAACCAGAATTACAACACCGACTTTATGCAGAGACTCTTCAGCGAAGAAGGGAAAGGACTTTTCAGTTGTAGAATGAACATTATTGGTGCGTAAAATGAGATTTTATGTTACTGCAATGTGGAAAATATTGTAATTACATGCACTTAGTATTATCGTTCATTATCGTATTTCAGGTCATATGCAGCAAGGCAGTTCGCCAACACCATTCGATCGTAATTTGGGTACTAAAATGGGATCTAAAGCAGTAGAATGGTTTAGCGAAAAACTTAAGAAACATACCAATCCAGATGGTAAGACTGTGACCTCAGAACCAGACACCGCTGTGATGTTAGGAATAGTTAGACGACAATACAGATACACTCCATTTACGGAGCTTCTGGACGTTACCAATTTTGAGTAAGCATTAGTTTCTTCTGATAATTAAATTTAAAGTGCTTTCATTTGTGCTTTAATGTAACGCAACGGGGCGTAATTTAAATGGCGAAATCTCTTTTAGGCATCGAATTCCAACGTATCAGTGGTGGATGAAGTTGCGTCCTCTATTGAAGGTGTTAGCTAAACATGAATCTACGTATGAAGAAGAAGGTCTCTATATTACGGTAGAAGAAATGGATCAAGAAGATCCGCCCTTGATATAAATCGATTAGCACATTATCCATAAGGTGAAAAAGAGCTGTAGGTGCGTATCGACAGATGTATATCCGTACTGTGCCAGAAACATTAGGCTCATAAGTAGTGCAGTATTTTTTAAAGGCATTGTGGTAATTATTATCTATTTTTTTTTTTTTTTTATTGCATGGCGACAAACAAGACAAATGTTAGATGAGAATTATTTAAAGAAAAGCTGTACTTATTACGGTTCACCTGCCTTTGCTTGTCAAACTGCTAAGCATATTATATTATAATCTTGTGTATAATCGTCTTTTATTCGATGAGCGAGTTATATATAATTAAAACAAACAAATTTAATATATTACAATGATCGAATTTATTACAAGTTATTCACGAATATTGCTAGAGATGGTAAAACTTGATTTTTATTTGAACAATTAAGTTTCTATTTTGAACAAGTTTAAATCTCAGGTAAGAAATAGGTACAAAGGCAGTACCTGAAAAATGAAAGGTAAGCTATTGTTTGAGAATATAACAAATAGAGAATATTCTAAACCACTGGCTATGAAATTGACAAAAAGGAGATACTAGACGTAGTTACTGTAAGGTCAAATATTTAAAAATCAGCCATTGTCGATACAAGTGACTTATGTGATTGGATGATTTAAATCAAGTCCATTGTGACGTAACACCTGTCACACTGCAACACCATAATGTTTTTTTATTCATGTAATTCGGAGAAGTGACCATGTTAAGAAATGATTATGATAACTTTGTGGTCTACTAAGATGTAGGATTAAATATAAGAAAAGAGTTTTGTGGCATTTTACGTTGGTGAAAATTTTGTCTTTCTGTTTAACGTTATACAAAGCTATAAATGGCTGTATGAAAAATATACTCGTCTACCTCAAAAGATAATTTGCAATCGATAACGACTCTTAGGAAAATTACGACCTAAGTCGTGTTGGTTGCAATTAACGTTTAAACATTTGCTAAATTTTAAGGCTTGTGACCACAAATGTATTTAGATATAATTCCTCTCTATTATGATACTCGTATACCCACTATTTAATGAATTACGAAAGCGTTGATGACACAATTGATCTTGATAGTTGACACATAGTGTCAAATTGACATAAACGTTACGTCTTATAAATCTTTCGAAGTACGTTACAGTGCGAAGTCATTTTTTGTAGTAAATTGTGTGTATCGCTTCAAATTAGGTACGGTATACAATATTTAATTAGTATTATGTGTAATACGTGGTTAACTTAAAATTCTTCATTGAGGGAATTCGTTCTATAAGGTCACAATGAAAAATCGTAATTGTGCAAATTAAAATTGAAGTCATGCATATAAGCGTGATAACACGAAACGTGACGTGTATTTGATACGTTGATTACATTTACTGACATTTTTTTACTGACACGTATAATGAATATCACTATCTTGGCTGATTGCGAAAAGCCAATTGAATTTTTGTTACTACTTATCGATTAATATAACGTCAGATTTTCTTTCGTAATCGAATATCAAAGTACAAGAAACAATGATAGAGCTATTGCGATGCGAGATATGAAGTACTACGTAGAGAAATACGCTTCGTGAGGTCCATCGTCCGTTGGATGCATTACCAAATTTAAAAAGCTAAAGCTATTTTAAAGCCAATAGTTATTGTTGAGCTCAACACAGACGTATTTTAGTGATATCGATGTCATTTGTGCGTGTTAACTATTGACATAGGTATTTGATTTTACATGAACACTACAGAAGCATAAGCAGATGAAATTTTAAATCTAACGATCGCGCTCTCAATGTTGCTACCTGCGAAATATTTTTGTCGGAACAAATTTCTATCGTTATTACGTAATAACTATACAGCCTGACTAACGAGTAAGAATTGATATATCCGTTAGATACGTACATAAATATAAAAATATTTATTTTCAAATGATACGGACGAAAGGGAGCGATCCTATTAAATAAGGTCAAGCTACTGTCATATTTTTAATCGTTAACTATATGAAAATTTCGGTGATTGAAGGTACGCGGACAAATGTACAGTGCCATATCACTAATTGAATCCTTCCTATTGTAATAATGTAAGCGGGTGTTAGTTGATGCATATGCATCGAAACATGACAACTTGTATAACTAATTGAATTCCCAGTTGACGACTATCATTGAGACAGTGGGCTTCTGGTGAAGCCAACTTTAACTCTTAAGTTTAAAGAGAGATATTTTTCGCTCATTGTTGATCAATGAACATACAGTCCACAGATGCATCATAGTATTACTTTAGCCGTACATTTTTCTCGGAACTAAATTGTTGTACCTTGCAAGTAAGGCTAAATCAAATGAACTTATTATCCGTCACATACGGAGAGCTCATTTGTTATAAGGATTAATCACGATAAGGTACACAGTGATTCGCTATAAATGTTGTATGTGAGACATCAAATAAATTATATCTTATGTATTTCGGGTAATATTTATCTTGGCGTTTTGTCGTCGATTTTCACCTGAAATCACTTCTATTTCACAATGACAATTCTTAGGCTTCGTAATATTCATTTGGTATTGGACGGGTAGATTCAAATTTTGCCGGCACTGCTTCCGCGCGTTTGGTGTCAACAGACCATTTAAGTGAAAGTTACTGATGCAAGAATATATGCTATTAGGAATTAGATTATGCGATGAAAATTCATATTACAATTGACTGAGTGCAAGAAATTTATTAAAGTGACAGAAGGAATTGTTTTGATCAGCGTAGTGCCAACAAGTAATAGCAGAATGCGCCACATTGCCAGCATCGGCGACGTCAGAGAACGTCGTCCCCGTTCCAGTACATTTGCATGGGTCACTTCGTAGGGAACAGTGTGCGGGTGTGCACTCCAAAAGTGTTCTTTGAAGTACCGAGACACTGGCAGTCGAATTGTAAGTGGGTTTAGTACGCGCTGTGTTGATCTTTGTCGATAAAATCGATAAAATGGTTGCGGTTAAGGGACGGAAAAGCTCTAGCAAGAATCCTCCGATATTAAGCCATGAATTCGTTATTCAAAACCACGCAGATATTATTTCTTGCGTGGCTATGATTTTCGTTGTTGGACTGATGGTGCAGGTCAGTATACCAAGAATCTTGGTTTTCAAGTACTACGATCCCATCGGTTGATTGTAATAAGTGTTTTTATATCTCTCTTCGACAAGTTACATGAAACAGGCCTTAGTTATTTCTTTCTGGAAAGCTCCAAATTTGACATTCTGGACCATCCATATGCTACTTTCTCCGGGAGTGTTTCAAGTGATTCAGGATAGTATTAGACCGTTCATAGTGTTCTTTCAATGAACTATATGCTCCTGAATTGTCTGATCGGTATTACTCAATTTATGTGTGTCTGTTTCATTCAACTTTTGAAAGATTTAGGGCAGCCATGAGTTCTAATCAATTCTCGTGGTTATCCAATTTCTTTTCTAGGTTACCTCTTCTTGGGCATATATTTTTATCGCCATTCATCACAATGTATCTATTCCTTCCTCGACGGAAGATGTTATATTACCTCAAAAATATACCACTGGTTGGAAGGATGCGTGCGCAGTATTCTTCTATTTTCTCATTACCATTGTTATGCACGCAGTTCTTCAGGAATATATTTTCGATGTAAGTCACTTTATGCCATAAATCAAGAGATAGTTACAATTTCTAAAATTGTACTTTATAATAATTGCATTCCCATTTGTTTTACAGAAAATCTCAAAGCGTCTGCATTTAAGTAAAATTAAACTCTCGAAGTTTAATGAATCTAGCCAATTGATTACCTTCTATACATTATCCGCCATATGGGGTATTGATATAATAGTTAGGTACGTACTTTAAGAATATTATATTAAAAGCAATACGTAGAATGTAAATTATTTATGTGTATCATTATTCTTGCAGGGATAATATTCTTCTAAACTTTACTTCTCTATGGGAAGACTATCCAGGCTTGATGTCATTTTCTCTGAAACTATTCTTTGTTGGCCAACTTGCGTATTGGTTGCACTGCTATCCGGAGTTATATTTCCAGCGTGTGAAAAGGGAGGAGATGTCTTCAAGAATTATCCATGCCACTATTGGACTTACATTCACACTTTTAGCTTATTTCCTTAAGTAAGTTGTTTGCCACATTATTCTGTTACCATTTTTCCGTTGAGCTTTTAATAACTGTTTGTGAATTGTACTTGCAGCTTCCAACATGTGGGAGTAATTTTACTGGTTCTACATTATGTAGGAGACGCATTGCAACATGCAGCTCGAGTAACTCATTTCGTAGATCAGAGAGAGAAGGCAACTAAAGGTATGGCCTCTTGGTATAATTTGAATAAAATGTTCTTTAAACAATTATATAGCATATTTATAAATCGACAATTTCTTGTTTCAGTTGCTTTCCTCATAGCTAATTCTATATTTGTCTTCTCCCGAGTCGCAACCATCGCCCTTACAGGCTTAGTATTTTTCTATGGCCTAGGACAAATTGAGCCCACTTTAGATTATGCTACCGGTAACTTCAACAGTCCAGCTATTCGATTCTTCTCTTTGGGACTAATTGGAGTATTCCAAGCATATCTCCTCTATAACTTTGTAAAGAGGCAAATCAAACGATCTCGAGAAAATAGTGTACCAGTCGTTACGAAGCTCAAGCCAAAGCAGAAGCCCAAAAAGAAAGATGGTAAGTTGTTTAAAAGTTTAAACTATACAATTTTGAAAGGCAAACCATTATTGTGTAACTCATGACATTTCAGCTAAAAAATTGCCATTGTCTGAAGACGATGATCTGCCAGAAGTTGATCAGGCGACAAAGAGGAATTTAAGACCCCGATCTGCTGCAAAGGCGAAATGAAGCTGTACTAGAAATAGAGATTTTTAAAGACGATCATTCCTTGACTTTAGTAAACTAGAGTCACGAATAATTTAATGGCAGAAGAAGATTCAGTGGTGGCCGGTGCACGAATGGCGCAAAATTAACATAACGGTTAGAAATACTCAGGAACGAATACAGGTGTTAAGCACTTATGTGCGCCAATTATGCAAATGTACAAAATTAGTATTCTCCTTTTTATTACGTTCCCGTTTTTTAAGGGATTTGAAAAACTCACTTGAATAGTGTTGCAAGTAAAGGTTTACGACTCAGAAGATATACATATTCAATTCTAGAAATTGTAATAACACTCGATGAATGTTTTGGCATCGCTTGAAATTACTATCGTCGTGACTATTTTTCCTGGTCACATACTGCGATTGAGAATTTGTAAGTGACGTGCCACGCGGTGTACAAAATGGTGTCCTAAATTGGTGACCTCGTACCTAAGCTGAGATATTTTTTTAATTTATGCGAGATAAAAAAATTAAGATAAAGTTAAAAGTGATAGATTCTTATAGATCACATGCTTTGTAATATCAAGATCTTACAATCATAGCAGATGTTATCATGGTTATAGGAGAATGTGGCCTAAAATGTAATATATAGTCATATTCCACGGTAACTTTATCTTCAATTTTGAAATTCAAGCATTAATGTAAGTACTATCTAAATTGTATTGGTCTATGATAAGCAAATTGTAGAATTATAATTAATAAATTATTAAGACAATTTTCTATACGAAGGCGCACGTTATTTCTGTACATATACATTAGGTGATAATTAGCAAGGAGTAAGTATACTTAAGGATTTACAAACGATTTTTAACAAAGTGGTCAACAATTTTATCTTACATTACAAAAGTATCTAACTGTGTATCTTTTCTAAAATTTGTATGATCGTACCTTATGATACTTTCATTATTAATTAATAATGCCAAAGAATTCAGAGGTTCGAATTCTTTGAGAAAAGCCGAGTTAAAATAACAATCCCATTATCTGTAGAATCAAATGCAAAGCAGATTTTTACTAATTAATATATTCAGCTATAACACAAGGTGTGCATAAATAAACATCTGCGTCTTTATATACAATTGAACGGCTCGCTTGTTTTCTACTATTTTCAGTTGCGTAGCATATATTGTTAGAAAATTGGACGTATTTCATGGGTTCAGTTCAATTCTTTTCATCACATCTGTAATGCACACATGCGTCGATTTCTAATCCACTTAATATAATTTGCAATGCCGTTCAAATAATCTAGTGCATATAAACTACGGCTTAGGGCACTTTCACGAAGCTTGGAGATCATTTGACATTCGGCTCATCGTAGAATACCCAGCCGTTGGAATTTTTACCGATTCGCAAATTCTCATCACATAATAAAATCCTTTCTAACCCACCGAATTTTTAGCCTAGACCTAAAACGTACTTCGGTAGGTTATACGCAAATCGAGGTATCGCCATCACGACCGACATCCTGCAAATTAGAAGAAATTAGTTATAAGGGCGTTAAGAATATAAGCGTGAATAGAATTCACAGTTGTTTTGAAGGTATTTACAATGGCATTGAATGTGCATAAGCACGTTACTTACTGTGTACCATGTTCCAAGGAACCGTCTATTGAACCACCAGATTATGGCCCACACCAACCCAAGATATGTACAATTTAACCTCTGCTTGCTCAGTTTTAATTGCAAATGTTCATTGATCTCGTGACAGGAACAAAATTGATATATGACAAGTAATGATAACTAAATAAGTAACATCCATGTGAAACCGTGTACATGTTATTTATGACGGTGATTAGGTGACGGAAATGAGTGCTTCCACATTCTGCAGTGCTGAAAGTTAGACTTCTACAAAATACTATGTACAACGTGAAACTCCAACCTTCCAACAAAACTTCCAACATGAAACCAGAACCCATATAGCAGTCAGTGTTTTATTGAAATAAAAATTACAAGTAAATATTTCCTTACTTCCGCGCGTTATACTTCAAGGTACTAGTGGTACTTCATCTAGATATTTGTAAATTGTATTTCTAAATGAGCGTCTCTTAAGCCTTGTAAAAAGTACACTATAACCTATCGATGTTACGCGTTTAGTGATAAAATATCTAAACAAACATGAATCACAGATTTTTCACCACTCCGATATAATTATCATTCAATATCTATCTTTCTTAACAATTAGTCTTCATTTCTACATAAATAGACCGCACCATATTATTCCCATTGTCATTCCACCCGGATATGGACATTTGGTATTATTTGGTACTAGTCAACGGCAAGGGTGTATCCAGATTAATGATTGTAGTCAATAAGCTTCGTTTACGTAATTATCACGTTACGGATTAACGAGAGCTCATATCTCTTTATAAAACAGTGCAGATATTTTTGCATGGACATATGAATATATGTCCATGCATATCTGACACATGTATGTCATGTTTGTACATGGGTTCTTCACAATTGGCACCGGTCTATTTTGTACCATACAACCATTGGTGGTGTACAGTAGCGAACATTAATGTCTTCCTTCCAGATATGGTGTCGCAGAGCATACGTAGGAAGTCATTCATGTCCACCAGTGTACATGGGTTAGGAGTTACGTGTTAACTTGATTAGTCTCGGTGTCCCCCGCGTGATGAGGCCTAAACCACCAATTTGGTACGTACGATAAAGCGATCCCATTGTAAATCCAAGCTCGCCAGCCCGTTCTGGTCTCGCCGCCGATTCTTGACTCGAGGCTTTGGCAAAGTGCCTTGCGATCGTGACTCCTTCCACTTCGGAGGTCGCACAGCAATCTCTTCCGGCACTCGTCTCCACATTGAGGTCTTACAGGCGAGTTCTTATTGTAGTGCCTGGTACAGAAGAAGAGGGACAATGGTTGCAGTAAATTCCCGAGCTTTGCATTGACGCGATAAGAAAAGGGGGCGCATAAAAAATACTTGTAGTATAGGTCGAAGAGCGACGGCTCGTTCGTCATCTTGTCTATCAGAGAATCCCAGTCTTTTGGCAGAAGAGATGGCATCTGGTACGCTTGCCGTGCATTGTACATCTTGTACCAGATCGGATAGTCGTAGAGATTCGCTTCCTTCAAGTTCATCACCCAAGTTTCATGATCCACCACCATCTATAAGTTGGAACAATTAATGAGAGCTTACGTTCAAACAGCGTTTCACGCTTGCTCTTATGAACTTCATGACCGAAGTCAGAATAATATGTCGCTTCATTTTGCAATCTCTTACTCGAGTTGTTTTCCCGTGATCGCCATCGACGTAGTATATTCGATATCCTGGGTTAAGGTCGGAATACGGCGTCACCGAGGGTCCAACATAGGCTATGCTTAATGCTCTGCTAAGGTCTGATGTGTCGTAAAATATCTGCATCTCGTCGTAGTGGGTGTGACCGAAGAATTGAGCCGTTATCGTCGATTCGTATCTAAACGTGGGGATAATACGAGCCATGACGTTCACACGTTTATGGGATATTCGTCAATGATGTACCTACCGATTAATGATGCGATAGTAATTCCTGGACCATACTTTCAGACAGTCCGAATGTCCTGGTGGTATGTGACCGACAATGTGGACCTTTTCGTTATGAATCTCGGCTTCTTGCAATTCGTAGACCAACCATTGAAGTTCGTTCGCTGGATCGGTGCTGTTAAGGAGGAGCCACCAGTTCTTATTGTTACAGTAATTCATGTTGACCGAGAGCAGCCGAAATCCTGGCCTGATTAGGACCGAATAGAATGCACCTCGGCGAACAGTGTGAGAGACCCCAGCTGGTAACCATCGTCGCCACTGTTTATCCAATTCATCGTACAGCCATTCGATGCTATTATCTTTGGGAACAATTGGTGGCGGGAAGCTGAAACATATTACGGCAAGAGAGTCACCGTCGATTACGTTACGTCGGTGATAAAATCTGGGATTAAACGATGCATTATAATTGCTACGATTCCAAACCGGGGGAACAATTTTCTCAAAGGACTCGACATATTTGACGCGACCGATTTCGACGAACCTGTTAACTGGCGCGCTCTCGTGGTTTCCTAGAGCCGGGAAAATTGGGATATTGGGAAAAATTTTCACCATTTGTGTCACGGTGTCACGCAGAATATTCAAGTTCTCATCTCTGGTTTGATTCCACACGTCATGAGGTGGTAGATCCCCAGTCCATAAGATGTAATCAATGTCCTACAATGACAGTGCATTAGTTACTCCCATTTCATGAAATCGCGATCAAGATAGAAAATGACAGATTGAGACGTATTTTTTAATCCAGGGCAAGGGCGGATCACTCGGTTGCATCGCGGTGCGCATCTTAGGTGGGCTATTCATTGTCCATTATACCGCGCCTGCATTACCTCATTGTTACGACAATAATGTCCGTACCAAAGTTACGCTTCCCACAGGATTTAATTCTATGGATTTGCAAATTCAAGGCTTAAGCATAGTACATACGCGTTAAATCGACCTAACACATTATGTCATGTAATTAAAAGGCTTGAGAATAATTCCGAAGAGCTGTTGCAGGTATCTCCAGACAACTAGATATTTAAAATTTGTAATTGTCCACGTTAACTTACAGAGTGCGTTTCGGCGATATGTTTCAACATGTGATCCACGGTTCTTTTGGGCGTGTCGCACTTTCTGTAATCACCCCATCGACCTGCAGCTGCCGAAGCCGTTAATGGTGCACCATTGGTCAGCCTGCAGCAAAGCGGCTCGTTGCACTCGGCGTTGGAGCCCTCTTGGTAATAGGGATCGTAATGAGTGTCGGAGAGGTGCAGGACCTTGAAGGTAGGCGCACCCTCCGCGGGCGGGATGGGTGGTTTAATCTGTGGTTTCTTCACAGGAGGAAAAACTACCTCCCACTCGTGCTGAGGATTGTATGCGTCGTCGCATACATCGCCGATCACGAAGCTGCAGATCTGCGATGGTCCCATGTCGACTTGTTTCATGACATAGATCACTTCACCCTGAAGAAACAAATTAGTCGTTAGGATCGATTAAAAAGTACACGAGAATTAACGGATTTAAACCTTCGCTCGACATAACTTCGTAACAGATTTCAGGTAAACTTGAAGCCCAAGACGATGAAACGACCTCCTTACCCCAAAGAGCAGGGTGATGCCTTGACAAACCCGCGAACTCTGGATTTTCAGTGACACGCAGAACTGGTAGATATTGTTCATGATCTCCTCCTTGCTTTTTCCAGCCTTTATGTAATTCTGCAACAATCCCGCGCCAACTTTGCACGCGGTGCAAGACACTTTGGACATAACCGAGGTCTCAACTTCTATCATCACTTGTCTGAGGTCCAGGAGCTTAAGAGTCTTGTCCACGAATCCAGAAAGCTGCCCGCCCGACGTTGATGGCTCCATGTCCCACAGCATCCGTGAATAATTTAACTGCGAAGGGATGCATAGTTATTTGTATTAGCTCATAAGATTCGTTAATGGCTACGGAAACATGTTAGAAAATAAGAGCCTGCGAGTATTCCGAGTAACTTTCGTTGATTTTTCTCCGGAAGACAATGAACTCTACCTATCCATGGGTGCCTCTCACGCGATTCAGCTTCACTGCCCGCACTATATCCGCGTGTATAGTGGAAAGCGTTAACAAAGCTCCATACGTTCCTCGAATGTTTAATTTCCAGCTAAACATCCACCCTTCTGACATATCTACGCCCTCTTCTGCATGCATTTACTCCTGACTATGTATTCATTGTCTAGGTCGCGTTTCCCGCATTACTCGCATGGCCTACGACGACCAAGTCAAGGATACTCGCCGTTCCCGCGGTGCACTGTACTCGTGCACTTGACAGCTGCTCCCGGGTGAAAGTGTTTTGAAATTGAAAGTGAGAGTCGAAAGAGACATCCGGGCCTCTTAGGCGTGAAGGAAAAAGACGGATATACCAAACGGAAGGAGCCATAGGAATAAAATCCGAGCCGCCGTGAAAGTTGCTCGCAATTTTGAGCGGTTCGGTCTCGATAAGTGTCCCCGGTTTTTTAAAAAAGGAAGATTTTAAAAAGGTTTTAAAGGAAAGTTCGATGCGCTTGTCAATGACCCATCGATCTTGGACCTAGGGTCAATCACGATCCCTTGAGATGTAACAAGCTCATCTTCAAGGTTGCCCTTTTCCCTCGCGTTATTTGTTCCGGACCGTTTGCGGCAATTATCATTACTCGTTCTTAAAGTCGAGCTCAGGTTTTGAAAAAGAGCTTCGGAGAGATTCACATGTTTTTTTTTCTTCCGGATTATCCTTGACTTGTCATTTTTTACCTTTACTCTTGACAATTGGTCCGGACTGGTTCCATTGATGATTGTCTCGATGTTCATGAACCTTTCCCTGGATCCTAGATAACGAGCTTCGGATTTGTTTATAAGTTGGCTCCTGGCTTTCATCCAATCGTCAGCCAACTGCGTCCAATTGGTGTTCAAGATCTCCGCTTCTCGCTTCCGGCTCTCTAAAATTGGACTTCCTGCGAAGGAATGAAAAAAGAAATGAAAAAGAAAAAAAAATAGCTAATATTTATATCGCACTCTAATAACCTTCGAATACCCTAATACTCTATAATGTATGACCTGGTGTTGCGATAAATGTTTCTTCACGCGTAAATACGACACTGAGGACAGCCCTTGACCTACCCAACAATGACGCGCGAGTTCGAGATATGCACTTCGTTAGAAATGCATGTTACATACGTGCACGATGTATCGACAGGGTGTTGACATATGTGTCGATGCTAAAGTCATACTTATCGCATTTCTGTTCACCAAGGTGCATACAAGTTTTGTTAATTTATACGTACCATTGACGCACCATCGTGACACGACGAGACACAACACAAGGAAACTGATTGTCCTCGTCCATCGTTGATTTGGCATACTATTTTCTACTCTTTGGTGTGATTGCCTGGAACAAGATAAAAAGGAAGATAAAAAAACAAGGAAAATTTATTATGAAGAATAACCTATCGAGAAATCGTAAAGGATTTCATATTATTCGCGTTTTCGCGCGGCTGATAATTGCGCCGAGAAAGGCTTCGAATGATCGATTAAATACTCGATAAAGGGTATAAACGTACTTTCTCTGAATGCTCTCCAGGTTTCGAAGAGTTGCATTATCACTGCATAAGTGCTTAACGTGGCGGCACAACGGACAGGTACTTCCTTCATTCGCGTTTGAGAAATCGAGTGATGGATCGAGGGATCTATTAATGCTTGAACTTAGGTTTCACCGACTTATTGTCGTTTTTTTACTTTTATCCTTTCCTCGATCATAGGTTCTCTCTAGTCTAAATCATTTTCCATATAACTCATAGTAAAGTACTTTTAATAAAAAATTTCCTTCATAGTTTACTTCCCTTCGGCCAACCTACTTTCGGCTCTTTCAAATGCACAGCCGATTATCTGCACACCTCGAATATAATTATTCACGGTAGAGATAAAAGGTGTAAACTTAAGAGGGCCAAAGATTGAATCGAGTCGCTTGGATTTTCTGAGAATTAAATAATTATTAATTACGACTCTGTACTATCAAGTCGATTATTCCTTACATATTACCGTCCAGGATGACATTATCAGGGGGATTTGGCAATATCGAACCCAGTTGTTAAACATACCACCGTTACTAAAGGCTAATTTACATTTAAGACTCCACGTGAACGGTCTATCAAGCCTTGGTGGTGTACTGTTAGTTATATGTGTGTCATGAACCTGTATCGAACTAGAAATTAGAGCCTCGCCTTCCGTCAACCAATGATTTGATCCTATTACTTCAAATTCTCCATTTTATCAATTAAAAACGACACAACACTTGGGGGGGGGGGGGGGCGAGGCTCCCTTTAATTTTCCCATATTACAAATTCCACTCTTTACAGAGCAGCTGTTTTCAATGTTTTTTTTTTTCTTCTTAATTTTAACTCGTTCCTTCGACATTCATTTTAAATATCTCATCAGTACTTATGAATTAACCATTTACAATAATTAATTGCTCCTTTATTTCGAAGTACTACAGGCGAACGAACGTGCAAAGAAGCCGCGTCGACGAACAGCTGATCGAGTGTCCGCGTCAACGTAAAGCCCGGTAAACTCTACATGTCCCGACATTGAGATGCATATTACGCGTCCCCTGGAATCACTTGAATGTACAGTAATGACTAGTCCCCTAACTACGTGACAGTGGTTCTCAGCTTGAATTTAAGCGACCTCAAGTGTTGGGAATAAGCATACGATGAAGGAGAGAGAGGGAGAGAGACTCAAATCACCGTTATTTGACCCACCAAGGCAAACGAGGAAGACTCAATTCCGCGACATTCAATGACTATTGCCCGGAGAAAATGAAATTGAACATTTTTTTTTTTCTTGTCCGCAGTATCTCGTCATCGGTACTCCCCGCGCATGTTTTACTAATCACATCTTTGCCTTCGAGTCAAATAAGTAACGAAAGTGGCATCAAAGTCGTTTTCTTAACGCTTTCAGTCTTGCTAAAAAATAGGGGTTACCGTGCTCTATAAATACTCGGATGCAGATTTTAGGTTCCTTTTCGACATTCTTTTGGAAATACACATCCGGCGTCCTACATTTTTATTGGGGCGATCGGAGAACGTTGCACCTCCGGCTGTCACGCGACTCGAAAATTCCGTTTTCGGACATGCAAGATGATATCTTCCTCTCGCGAAAACGAGACATCCGAGTGGCAGTGAAGTCACCGCCGTCGCTATCACTCGGATGTTCCACTTTCTTTATTTGCACCCGGAAATTCGCTCCATTATCGTCGCCAATTGCGCCCACTTTGCACATTGGGTCACTTTGGCTCGGGTTATCATTCCTCAAATAATCATTCGATAGATACACACTTATCATCTAAAGTACTCTCCATGGAGTACAATTTCCCTCGCCGAGAAATAATTTCCCTTATCTACATGTTCATGCATGAATGTACGTATCAGTTTTCCGCACTTCTTGGGAGGTACTCAGAAAAGATCTGTTTGGTCTGACGATAAAAATCGTCACACCAAACATCGCAAATTCCAATGCATACACGCTTCATGAAAGTACGTAACCTCGCGATAGCATTATCGAGGCTTTCTACAATCACGCGTTAGTAAATCCCAGGAAGAGAATAGAGTATGACCTACGTCATGTGTAGCAAATAAATTGTTATCATTCGCCAGGCCACTTGGACGTTTCAATTGACTCAGTAGTAGTAACTTGAATAGTTGATAATCGGGCCTAGGCCACAAACAACAATTTTCATCGCTTACGTTGGTTATTACAATCCGAGTAGGAGATATTATCCATCGCGACGTCAGATATTAATTACACGTAAATCCACAAGGGAACACCCTTCTCTCTTGAACTTTCTTCAAAGATTTCTCATGGATTTGCATCGAAATGGCAAGCCAACAAGGATTTACGCAACGCATGTTGCAAAAGAAGTCGGTGGGAATAGTAGCGCCAAGCCACGGACAATAGTAAGTACGTAAGTGCATCACCCCTTAAATAATTAACGCTCTCGAATAACAGCTACTTGGCCTTAATACAGAGGTCAATTAATATTGCGTAAGGATACGTTGCAAGCACCGTTGCTCGACGTTCAAGTTACGATTGCATAATTTAAGAAGAAAAGAAATAAAAAAAAAATATATTAAAAAATAAAAAAGTGAACACGTATCCTATTTCCCTGACTCCTACAATTTTAGCCTGGAATTTCCTGCGATTTTTCAAAATCCTTGCAAGCATTAAAAATCGCACGCATTATTGAGCTAAAAAAGGGGAGAAATCTCTATATTCTAAATTTCTATATTCTAACGAAGGCTCGAAAATTGAAAGCGCAAATTCCGCACCGTCTCCGCAAGGTGACTCGCCTTCGCGTCCGCGTGAAAATCGCGGGCGATCCCTTACTTTCCAACATTTGCTCGGCGATGGAAACATCGGCCACCCAATTACCTACATACACTTGCAGCTGGCCCGTACGACTTCGAGTTGAAGTGAAATTACGACGTCGTGGAAAAATCGCTACGACAACGTGCGTGAATTCGCCGCTCACCGATCTCGTCCGGATCGTCGGGGAAATCCTCGGGATTAATATAAAAATCATTATGGAAATCATCTCAAGCTTCGTCGGACACTTCGGACCCCAGCATCCGATGATATCCTCCGGTTAATAAGATCCTCGTAGAAGAAAAACCATCCGGGAAAATCAAAGCAAGAGTATCCTCTCGTAAAGCGCCTCCACTTGAAGCGGAACCGCTTGCGGCCGAGTCTTCCGTGAAGGGCACATAGTGGGATGATTCGATCCCGATTACGGAATCGCAGAAAAATCCCGAACCCTAACCGAATGCCTTTGCCCCTTCTAAAGTAAAACCGACAATAAATACATTCCGCGAGATCTGGAGCGGGACTCCCTAATTAAACGAAGCATGAACGTAACTTCACTTTTCTCCGATGATTAAGTAGTTTGACGTCGTAGAAAAAGTGGTCGATCGGTACCTCGGGGATTCTCCTACCGCTCTGATTCCCATGTAAATAAAACCCTCACTTCTATTGGAATAAATTCCGAGTACCGAGGAATTCCAATGCAACTCCGTGGATTTCCTAGCGGTTATGAAATAACCCGAGTTCAATTCTCAGACGGTGTTAAAGTTATCTCGTTAACCTACGTGGAGACCGTTTCGCACGTACAACTGGAGGCGAATCAATTTTACCCACATATGAACCTACTAGATTTTTACTTATTTCCACATTTTTCGTTTACCTGCGAAAGTACTTCACTTTTAATTCCCGCAAAGAAATAATTATTTCCAACATTGACAATTTCACTTGAGTCATTTTTGAATAGACACGTTTCTTTGATTGCAAGTACCTCAGTCTTCTCAGTTTAGGGCAATCCGTGCGTTACCGATTACTCCGATATTTCGTAACATAGCGAAATTACAAAATCGTCCGCCAAGTTACGTATGTCGGATCGGCCTTATTCGCACGATTAGAGATCTTATCCGGAGTTCAAATGGCTTTCCAAGATCTTATTAAGGGAAATCAAGGTGATGCTCTGGCCGGTGCCATTTCCGATGTAGGAGTCCAACTTTCACATCCTACCAGATTCGGCTCGAAGTTTTCCGGTTTAACGTGCTCTTATGACGGTTAAGGTCAATTTATCCGCATTCCTCGGTCGTAAGTGACGAATTATTATCCGCGTCCACGTAGAATCAAGTGATAACGGCGCATGTAAGAGAGCAGGGTGGAAACGGATAATATCCCGCGCTAAACTAAAAGCGACCTTTGTTTTCTTCCGAGAGAAATTGTGGCGGAATAAAAATAGAAAGAGGCACACCAGGAGGTGGAAGAAATCGACATTACAGTGGTTAGCGATATTTCAATTCGATGAGTGCGTACACTCTCGAGAAATTCCGCTCTCGATTAGAAAATCCCCAAGGTAATATGGCATATTAATTCCCCTGCTCTCGATTGCACCGATTGCAGCAATTGTCGACTCGTGGCACCGGTTTTCAAAATCGAGGGTCCATTAACTGCGGATTATTCCTATCACCAACTAATTGATACCCCCTATCACGGCCGACAATTAGACGTGTGGCAAGGCGACGTTCCTTTCCGTTCCAATTACACGCTATCGGATGAAAGAAACTCCAATTAACTGTTAGAGGTATGAAAAGTACATAATTTGGCCGAGGAAAATCTACGAGTCGAGTATTTTAAAAATGGCCGCTTTGTCACAAGACGGTTGAAATATGTTCCAACGATATGATATCTAATTGCGTAACGCCTTTTCTAAGGCACTCACGTTTTCACGGTCGCTCAGCTTTCCTCGCGTTTGGGAAAGCAAAAAGGTTTCACTGCCATCCTAGAAAATTTCCCGGGTCCCTAATGCATTTTCCGTCCCCTAAGGTTGACCAGTGTCGTAAACGCCGGGCAATTAACGTCACGGCTTTTAACGTTAACATCCTTCAATTAGGACTAGATATATTCCCACGTTTACGGTATCGTACAGCGTAATATCCTTCATTCTAATTTCCGACAGAAGATTTAAAGAACCGCGGAATATTAAATACAATTAACAGGTCACGGTGACCGACAATCCCAGTAATCGTGTTAACGCATAAAAGACGAAGGATCGTCATTATTTCTCAGTAAAAATTCACCGAGGTTAATTTCGTTCAACTTTCAACTGTTTTGTACCAGATCTGATCCCATTGTTCCGTTTCTCTCCGCTCCTCCCTTTCGCGGACTACATTTAATTCCGTTCCTTTATAATTACACTCCATGGGCTAACCTCTTTTTGCGAGGACCCCTCAATCACGTGACCGACACGTTCCATTAGAAGTACTAAAAGAATGCTCCACGATAGTTTCAGAAACTGAATCGTGTCACGCGATGCAGGTGCAGTTGCTGTAGAATAAAAAAAAAAGGCTTACGTATTGTTGCCCAGTGCTTTGTGTCTAAACTGCGCGTTCATTTCCTGTATTCTGCGTCATCAATGAATTGCTACATTTCAAACTACATACAAATGCACCCGAAGTCTAGCTTAACATGTACTGATGCGATATAACCCAAAATTAGAAATTTAACGCGACGAAGTGCTTGCACGTGAAATTTATTCCTTTTTATTAGGAAATTTATAAATGATCGTCAAAGAAGTACAGCAGGTCGGAAGTCGGGCAAATACCGAGTGTCGTTATATAAACGAGGGTAACATAAGTATTATGAAGCCACCGTGGAATTTCAGCACGTTGCACACTAAGTGTCACGTTACGTTTCCGACGAGTTTGTTATTAACGTCGATTGCGACACTGTCTCTTGTCCAACTGTGAAATTATTACGACTCCTTCTAAGTATTCAAACTAATTTTTTCCGCTTGCGAGTACTAGTGCGTGTTACCCTTGTGCAATTAAAAACAGAAATAACGTCTAGTTTTCCCGAAATGCCGTCACCATATTTTTTTTTCCTCTTTCTTCTTTCTTTAAAACAGTATCTTTTATTTGAGTCCTCAAACCGCGTTTTAATTACTGCTTTCTCCTTTTTCTTTTTTTTCCCATTTTGCTCCAAGCGCGACTCGCCAGTTGCTCGAGGGACTAATGGAGGCATTTCTCGGTAGAGCAGATGAAATCGGAACAATGGATTAAAAGTATGTCAGAGATCAATACGGAATCGTGAACAGAGCCCGCAGTTAACGTGAAACACCTTAAAGGTAGGTAAATTAAGGTCGTCGTAATAAATTACCATAATGGTAACACACTTGACCATTAACAGATTAAGTTATATCATCGAGCCGGGTAAAACATTTGGAAAGACTAAACCAAGGGAAAGGCACTAAACACTTCGATAAGAAGCTCAGCTTCGAAAGGTGGTCCCCGGCCTTGGAGTCAATGTACTTGCTAATGTATTCCGTAGACTCCCCGTAATTACACCGACGCCTGTAATGACGCAAGAATTCCAGTTTTCTTTCTATTCATTATCAATGACCGAGGACTCCGAATTCCTATTCCGATTGCCACCGGCGAGGAATCACGAATGTCAGTACTTGAAAATTGAAACGAAGGAATTCCTGTCGTACAAAAAGAGTACAACAGAGCGAGAACCGCTTTTCGAATCTCACCAGAGCGATTACTATTTCCCTCGGGTGTAAAAAAAAAAGAAAAAAGTTAAACAAAATTTCCCGAAGATCAGTAAACCGACCAATGATATACTTTCGCTGGAGATGAGGTCGAACAGGACCTAATTGAATCGTTTGAGGACGTGGACTCGAAGAATGTGACCCGAATGACGAAAAACCTCGAAAGTGGTCAAGGTCTTCCTTGCACCGGCGTCCATGTCCTCTTCGTAAATTCCGTCGCAATTCTTCCTCCCAAACGTTTCGTTTCTTATGTTGTATGAATTGTTATGCTCGCGTTAGCATAAAAAACATGTTAAGTCCAAAGACTTGCTTCGGGACCGCTAAACGAGACCTTCTTTGTACACCACGTGTACATGGATCCCGTCTATTTGGTACAGTCGATGGGCGATCGTCTCGTGTCCGACGTACCGGGCACCTAACCTACTTAAGCTCGCTCTCTCTCCTCGTGACGTCACCAGCAGCCATTGCCGGTAAAACTTCACCCAGAAATCGCTCAAGACTTCAACATTGAGCGTCCTTAAGACCGCCGCAAGGCCGTCGAAAATTAATCATCCCTCCACCGCGAACGAATACATTAAATTTCACCGCGACTTTTAATCAGCGTCCATTAATATCCATGGGAATTTGCTCTACGTTAATCCCTGCCACAGAAAGATTGATTATTCTTCCCGGTCCGACCATTGTTCATATTTAAATATATTTCTCTGCGTTAACCAAATTTTGCGATTCTTGGAGTAAGGGTTAAGGTGATGTGAAAGTGGCCACACAGAGGTCCCGTTTATGAAACTTTTCCCCGAATTGAGTGTGTCGAATCGTTTCAAACCTCCTTAACCCTTTCAGCACTATGGGCCCATAAGTGCGTCCGGCAATTATCAGCGAGCTGCTGATAACTCGCTCAAGCAATTCCACACTTAGGATTTATCCGCGAATAAGTAGTTCGTCCCACCAGGTGGTCCATGAAGAAAAAAAAAATAATTAGGAAAATTTTAATCAACGAGGAATGCTTTCACTTCACGTTTATGAACATCCAGGTGGAACTTAAGAATGAAAAAACGGAAGATAATTTATCATAAGCCAGGATGGTAAAATATTTCAATGTTGCTCCCACTTATCATATTGTATTGTATACTGATAACGTGCGTAACTGCGTGAATAAGAGAGCACGTGTTTGTTTACTTCTCGCCGATTGTGAGAATAAAGTAGGTGGTGGGGACTAAATTGCGACAGATCTGTTTTTACTGGAAGTGAGTCTTTGGAACAACGTGCTTTGTTGGCTTTCGCAGACTCGCGACCACGTGGACGAATCCAGCATTCAGAACGCTGAATAATCACGAAATGTCCGAGTAATTTCCGACTCTCGATCACGATCGACGGCTTCCTATGTTTGCTTTATTTAAAAAATATCTTTTTTGGGTTCTCTTATAAATGCAAAATTTTCTTTCTCGAAAAAAATGAAATTTCACGAGCAGCGCATTCTTCCTTAGAGCCTCTCCACGATCACGTGTCAAGGTTTCAGATAATTCGGTGCACCCAGTTTGCCAGAAAGTTTTATAAATATGTTGAATTTTTGGTACGTATATATCACCTTAAGTGTTAGAAAATCAGTGGAGGTGTTCCGGGTACTTACAATTCTCGAAACCTGGTGGCGAGATGTGGCTGAAGTCAACGGAGATTTAAAGTAGATCGGTTGACCTGAAGGGGAAACTCCGGGTCTGCGAGAAGACACTTTCGTAGCCGTATCCGTGTCCGGTTGTCGTTGGCGCGATTATTTCGTTGGCTGGTGGAACATCGAAGGCGGACCAACGGAGCAGAAGAGTCGGTCGAGTGGAGCAGTCGCACTTTCTTGGCTCATTCGATCGCACGACGTCGCATGGCTCGTCTCCAGTGCCCGCGGTTCAGCCTCGGTCTTTGTGGAGCACAGGGAGCGCGCGACTATCCGTACTGACGGACCAGCTTGCACTGAATGCGGCGTCGTGCTCCCGCTCTCCGCATGTGATTTCTCCCGCGCGCTGATTGGTCGGCGCGCGGCGGCTCGATCACGTGACGCCTGCAGCGCACCAATCGGAAGCCTCCTGCGGCGCGCGCACCCACTTTGAACCGTTAACCGATCCGCAGAGTAATGGGCCACTAATGCGTTCGACTTACCGCGCGATCGCGGTGAATCGCTAATTTCTAAGGTGAGATTAATCGACCGAGGGAAAACTCACGCTTCCACGAGCCCCACTTATTGCAACTTAGTAATAATATAAAAGTTACTTACTCCTATCGAAATTAAGAAACTTTCACTCGAAGATCTTTTGATTCATTTGAACTCTCGAGGGAAGTCCTGCATTCTAGGAATCTGATATGAGGTGTGTTTCCAGAACTGAGCTACAGAAAATAGAGGGGTACTCACCATTGCTCAAGAAATCCCGAAGATAATGCACAAGCACCTTATGCCCTCTCTGCAGTCGGAAATATTTGAGATATAAGCATTGATTTCCACGCCATCGATTTTACCGTCGTATCATCACTTAACATCTCCCTAGCCTCATGGCGTCCTTCAGCGGCGACCGTGAGTACTACTTCGTACGACTCGGTTACCATCAGTTGCCCGCAGTTATAACCTCTCTACGTCTGGATAATAATCACTGAAACCACCTTTCATACCTTAGGAAAACTTGTTACTTGTTTCATTTTGCCATTAGTTATCAAGGCATCGGTTATTATTTCATGGTTGATACGTTTCTTTCAAACCTTCCGTTGATATGCCTGGAGCAGGTGGCGCTGTCGCCGGCCGGTCGGTAAACCGTCCGTTCGAACCGTTCCCGCCATTGGCCGTTGGCCGGCGGGGCGCGACGTGATTGGTTGCCGCGGCTTGTGTACATGACAACCACCGGGTGCCGGCGCCGGTGCCGTAAAACAGGCCGGTTCGCCGCGATCGTTTTCATTCACAGTGCGATGCGGAGTGCGTGAGGTGTGCGTCGGCTTACGCGAGATCGGAGCCCGCGGCTTGCCGGCAACGTGTCGTACCGGCGATGCGCGTCCCCGCGGATGGACCAATCTCTCGACGACCGCTAAATCCTCCGGTGGAACCGTGACAACGTTCCCCAAATGGTGCCGGTGTGTACGTAGACTTGATCGAGACGACCAAACGACTCGCGAAGAGGAATGCAGGATTTCCCGACTCGCTTCGATTAAGGTAAGTGAAGGATCGCAACGTCGATATACGTGTTTTTCCTTTTTTTATTCATTCCTCCGCTAACAACGAGGACACCGAAGCGACATTTTCCGGCAACAACCGCGCCAAAGAAGAAGTTACTTGATCCTATTTTATGGAATTATTATTAACCCCAACATGGGGCTTTATTTATCGTTCTGTGCAACTTGTCAAGAAAAATTGCTCCTACCACGGTCTTCTCTAAACCATTATCCGCGTAACGATTTTTTTTAAATCATAATCATAAATCATTTCAATCTATATGCGAGTTGTAGGTTTTGGAAAAATCGCGGCTTTGATCGTACGCGATTTTCCGACAAACGGTCACAGAGTTTCGGCAGATTATACTGGACTTTTGTGTAAACTCGATGGAGAATAATCAACCGGGGTATTCATCGGGAGGAACAAAGGGTTCGTTCACAGACTTACTCCGACGTTAAGTCGGGAGGCATGTCAAGACGCTCCTCTCGTAGTCGGTAAATTAAACGGAGTTTATACGGCGATACGATCAATTAAGCTTGACTCATCGAGATCGAATAGACCGTCCATTGCCGTCGATTATAGGAGATCAGTGCGTCAGAAGGAATGAAAAATTTTCTCCATGGGCAAAACCATGGAAAAAATGACGATTCATAACGTCCTGCGGACGAGACAACGGCGCATTCAGTCGTCCATTTTTCTCGAAATTATACCATCCACCCGGAATGGGATTTTCACTCCATGATTGTAATTATTAATAATTTTAGTTGCAGGTTATACGCTTGTTATAAAACAGCAACTTTAGTGGTTATTCGAGCACCCTCGACAGCGGAGTAATATCCACTGTCGAGGGTGCTCCATTTTGGGTGGTTATAAATATTCCTGAGGGGAGGTGCACCTGTGTATATTAATAAGCCTGCGGCGGTGGGATTTATTTCCGAGCCCACCTTAATCGAGACCATTCATTACTATTGATTACGGGTAAACTTAGTTGTCACTCGTGAGTCACATATGGTGCATAATTTGTTTACCTTAAATAACAGTCAAGAGTACACGGTACTCTTGACGATTCGCTTTGGCTATTTGCCAACGAGACTAATCATCGGCTATGCAATTAATTCCCCGGATTTTGTTTCGAATTTGCTCGAGGTAATGTATGCAAATTAACGTAGCTGTTCAGCAAGCATCGAGCGGTCGTCGTTACGATGTGTAACGATGATTTGATTAAAAAGAAATTAGGTTTCGGGGGCATCGAGTTATGCGGCACGTGGATCTCGGCTGTGATACGTCATATCGAATTTTCTACGGCTATTTTTAACAATAAATCAAGATCGTGGGCGTGCGTGGGAAGTAATGGATGAATGAGAAAAGTATTGATATGTCCTGATTAGTCTTGAAAGACGCTTGATTCCGTCTACGGTTTATGTTTAATAAAATAATAGGGTAATTCGGTACGTTTTGGCGCTGTATGAGGAGTTCTGATAAAAAAAAAGAAAGCGAAAGGAAGTTCGCGTATCGTACATCCGAAAGCACTTCGCGGTGATAAAGAACCCGTATGTCATTCGAGAAGCTTTTAAGCTGCACCGATTATGCAGACGAGGTGGCTAAGTGTATCCGGTGCAGTGATCGATTTAACAATCGATCCTAAAAAAATGACGGTCATCTCGGTCAAGTCGGCGAACTAATACAAAGAGCGTGTAAGATGTTCTTTTCGAAAAGACGAAAATTTTGCATTCAATTAATAGGATTGGAAATTGTGGATTGATCGTCAGGTACACTTCAGGATCCGCGATCGAGGAGATCTTTTTTATCTCCGAATTTGAATATTCGATTTAACCCGTTGTGCGTGCAATTTAGAAGAATGACTCGATTCGAGGGGCTACATCCGGCTTGGGATTAAAGCTAATGGGTTAATTATAAAAAAACATCGATATCTCAGACTATCTCAGAATAGAAATGATATCTCGACTTCCCACGGGATTCTCTTCTGTGCGTGTGATCGTGGGCATAGAAAAAGAAGAAGAAAAAAAATGCAACGTGCAAAACGTGATTGTCATTTGCGGACACGAGATGATTTATTATGCAGGCGATGGTTATCGATTGCGGCACGGGTGCAACACCTCTGTCTGATTTCCTCCCTAATGACCATACCGGGTGCAGTAAGATTTCTCACATCGAGGATGTCTATTTCAATCTATCTCCGAAAGAATTACGAGGGCCACCAATCATCCCGAAAGCACTTTCGGCAATTGTCTCTGGCCCTTTTCTGTCGGTACGCCCTTTCCCTGAAATGTCTGCTTTGAGAGGAATTGCAAGCTAGTGACAAGATGGATCGACAATGTCGAGGTACCGATTCGTCGCGCTAATTTTTCGGGCTTCCCTGGCTTCGTTTCTGAGTCACCAATTCGTATAAGATCTAATCACCGGAATCGTGCGAGGGCGAGACCAAACCTACCGATACGATAAGCCGAGCTCCCCCTAAGGGACGTAAACTTGAAACGATATACCGGTACACACGAAAAATCTCAACTATGTCCTATCAGCAATTGTCATGCGAACTTGGAATATAACCACTGCACTTCCGGTGTTCATTTACGAGGAGGTTACACGAAAGTCTCGGAAGACCAGTCGCGAATATTACGTAGATATTAATTTTATTAAGACTGTTGTGAGCGTGCAAACGTGTGTTCGACAGAGATACCACGCGAACCCGATACCGCTCTTATATCGTCTTTCATTCAACTCTCCAGATAAGCTCATTCAAACTTTAATTTATGCGCCCCATATTTTACGACTGCTCTTCCTCTCGGAAAAAATTATATATTTTTACCGACACATAGAGTAAATTCACACTTTTCTTATTACTTCTGCCGAGTTTACGTCTCTCACGTAATTCAACGAACCGATAGGCAATTACGCAGAGAAGTGATATGCAAGTTTACCGTACCGCGAGTACAATGGATGATACTTCATTGCCTTTTATTCTCCCGAGATCATTTTATCACGTTATAATGCGACCAAGGACGTTCCCACAAAATTGTGTAAATCGAGGATTTACCGTATTCCCGCGATTCATATCATCCACACTTATAAGTAATAAAATAGAGAGGAGGCCATCTTCCTTTCCACGGTGGTTCCTCTTCGGGGATGCGACATGACTATCACGTAATGGCGCGGATCCCACGAAATTATGTAAATAGAGGAGTTACCGTATTCCCGTGATTCATATCATCCGCAGTTATAAGTAAAACAGAGAGGAGGGTATTCTTCAGCCACGGTCTTTCCTCTCCGGGGATGAGACTTGACGGCGAGACACCGCGATAAAACGGTAGGGCACGCATTTCTACATAATGCATAATACATTCTATCGTTGGGCCATTGAAACGAGAAGACCACCATTGTAGAGCCGGTGCGGCACGTTGCGGGCGCCCTGTACAAATATACAGGGCGTAGGAGGTCTGCCAGGTGCATCCTGAGTCCCCTCTGCACTTTTCCCCTCGAGGGGCACTCGAGCGCAACAGCGCTCGTGCATTCCTCCTTTCAGCCGGTCGACTTGCTTATTCTCTATTTTCTCCTGGATCTTCTTTTTTTTTTTTATTCCCTCCCATAGTTTCGTCAAACTCCAGACACGGCACCACGGGAAAGGGCGTTTCTCCACCGAGAATTAACCATTACCATGAGAATCCCTCATCGCCGTATCGTCCCCTGGTAATGGGTTACCGATTAGCGAGTCCCTTCCTAACTCCTTTGTAGCGGTTCTAAAGACTTAATTTATATCCGAACCACATTGTCTCGATTATACGTACTTCCTTTAATTTTCCTGGTGGTCGCAATAAATCGACCGTAAATTTGGCCTGCTTGAAGTTATGACTCGTTATCGTGAGATTCGTGATTAGAGGTTATGGACCGGCCTTTCAAGTGGCGTGGCCTTTCCGTCCCCACGTGGAAGGGCTCGCGGGGAGTCGCATGGCCCGACCGAGCAGACGATCCTCTGCACTTTATTTTAGCCAGGGCTCCTAAAATAGGCCCCGGGCTCTCGGTACAACCCGAGGCGCGTCTGCGAGACTCAAAGGAACACCCTGGTCTGGGTTATCGGCTACGATTGCTTATCCGATGCCACTCGCCATGGGGATGCATTACCTCAGGGTTAGCGACCCCCTTATCGGCGATGCCGATTCGAGACCGAAGAGGGCCAGTAATTTAACGACCCGAAGAAGATGTCTCGTTATTTACCCAATAGCCTCGGTTAATATACATTTTCGCTCATTTTAACGTTAAACCGACCCTTTTATCCGCCTCGCATCGAACACATCTCGTCGACTTTCCTGAAATAATTCCTGATATCGCAATTCCTAATCTCGCTCCGAAATTCGCCCCACGAGGGGGGGTTTAAAATAGCACTTGGTAATGGAATCATTTCGAGGTTATTTCCCCAACTCGGATAGTGCTCATACCGGGCGTACCGTAAGATACGCGAGTTTAGTACCATCTATATTCACGAGTCTAGGGTGTAAGACGGGTTAACGGGGTCGTACGTCGTTTTTTCAGTAAACACCGCGACAACGGGCGGATGGGACTAAATTTAGTTACGCACGTCCTGCACTTGATTTCGCAACGGTGCCATCAGTAACGCCGGCGGACACTTTATCGCTGCCGGTCCAATTTACTCGGTTAAATTTCATTCCTACTCGGTTTCGTTAGTTACGCCGTTCTCTTGACGAAAACGCCTCCACGCACTTCGGGAGTCGGTAAAGTCGGGATCCCGATAATGGACCTTGCGTTATCTTCGGGTATACGAACGTCTCCATAAAGGAACCCGCGGGTTCCCTCCACGTTTCTCTTTCTTTTTCGATCCTGTCAGGACCCCGTACCTGTAATCACCCCCAGGTAGCGGCACCTCAATTACGGCGCACGCGCGCTTCCCGTACCTACTTACGTTACGAGCGGTGCATCTGTCTGCACTTTCTGTACGCACTTTGCGTACATATGTTGCATATGGGCGG